CATTAACCACCATTAACCACCATTAACCACCATTAACCACCATTAACCACCATTAAATCACCATTAATCACCATTAACCACCATTAACCACCATTAAATCACCATTAAATCACCATTAACCACCATTAACCACCATTAATCACCATTAATCACCATTAATCACCATTTTCCACTGGTGAAATCCCCATTTCTCAAGGTCCAAGACATCGCCATGTCGTTGATCGGTGCCGATGATCTGGAGATGGACGCTGCATTGATGGACGCAGGTGCGGTAGGTAAAAAACCCGGGTCTTTGGACGGCAGATTTTCCGGTCAATGGCAGGGAAAAAATGACGGACACATTGGGAGTTGGTGATGGTGAAAAAATATGGTTTTTCAGCAAAAATGGTGGAATAGTGGGACTGGAATCGGAGATTTGATGATTTTTAAGCATGGGAAATTGTTTGGTTATAACGCCATCTAACTAGTTCGATATTTAGAGCTTGTCTATCTAGGGGAGCCTTTTGGTTTTCGGGCGTTTTCAGCATCAACCATGGAGACTTCACCTTGGTTTCAGCCAAGGAAATGGCGACATATCCGATGGGGTTTGTCAATTTGAGTTGATTGGGCTTGTCCAGTCCTATTTAAATTTGGAAGTATATGGATAATATGGCTAAGCAGCTAGGGAGAACATCATCGTGGAAAATGCGGTGGCTGGCTGGATGCTGTTGTGATTTGTTTTGGGGGGACTAAGCCCCAACGGGGACCCAGCCATGTCTCCGGCTAGGTATAGAGGAATCACCTAAAAGAAAGAAACGTTCTTTCTGGTTGGTGGTTTCAACCATTTTTTATTTTCCATTTCATATATGGGATGTCATCCTTCCCATTGACGAACTCATATTTTTCAGAGGGGTAGGGCTCAACCACCAACCAGCCATGTTTTGCCATGGTTTGGTCCTATTTTCCCATGTTTTTTCCCAGTGAAATGTGTGAAATCATGCCACGCGAAGGCCTGGACTCGTTGGCTTCGGTGGAGTTTCAGAATACCCTGACCAAGGTGGCCGGGCAGGGGCAGGTTGGAATGGCCGATGGGTGAATAAAAACATTGGAACGTTTGGGTTGGGGATAGATAGATGATATATATATATATAGATAATATAATATAATATAATAGAATAAAATACATAATATAATATAATAGAATATAATAGCAAATTATATCAGAAAATAGAATATAAATTATACCAGCCCCAGCGCCAGGCCCAGCCCCAGCCCCAGCCAGCCCCAGTGGTGGTGGTTGTCGTGGTGGTAGTGGTGATGGTGCTGCTGCTGCCGCTGCTGGTGGTGGTGGTCGTGGTGGTGCTGTCGCTGGTGGTGGCGTGGTTGTTGTTATTGTTGCTAGTTGTCATTGCTAAGGTTGTCGTAGTTGCTAAGATTTGCTAAGGTTTCCAACGGAATGTTGGTGATAAGCTGGCCAGTTCCTAGCAAATCTGTAGCAGCCAGAGCCGAGAAGAGAGAAACACAAACCTGTGCAGCTTGATTCCTTCCGATTCACATGAAACATTTTTTCAACCATTTGATGATTTAAATACTACTGGTGTCTGCCTGATCCGTTTTTTGATTTGGTATAAGAATTGATCCGTATCATATCACCAGATTAGACCCTTATTTTCTGCATTTGGCTGGTGCTCATTTTGTGCCCCTGGCTTGTGCTCCCTGGGGGTAGATCAAAAATATACTACATTTAATACACACACATATATATATATAACTATAGTATACAAAAGTTTGTATATAACTATAGTATACTAAAGTTAGTGGGGTTTACCCCCACGAAGGGCTGGAACTAAAGGACACCACCTTGAAGGTACCATCTTGATGCATACGCTATGCATACCCTGTTGAGAAGGTAGTCAGGTAGTTGAAGACCTTGAATCCCCAGGCAGACTGATGCTGTTGCTGCTGATGTTTGCCTTCTGCCCAGGAATTCCGAGGTGTTCCAATGCCTTCTACATTGATGTTCGACTTCCCCACGAGCAAAGAGACTCTTGAATGCAGGGGATTACTGAGGAGTACCGAGTGCTGAAGACAGGTGTATTTATAGTATGGATTTCATGATTCTATGATATTTCAAATGATTGTTGGGTCTCCCCATTGTCCAATGTTGTTGTTATTGTTGTTGTTGTTGTTGTTGTTGTTGGTGTTGGTGTTGGTGTTGGTGTTGTTGTTGTTGTTCGGCAAGAACGACTTTGAGAAGGAGTTCACGTGGTGAGGTTATGGGACAATCTCACAGTATCCCAGTATCCTGAAGTGTCTAAGAAAAATATCCAAGTTTGCTTGAAGCAGGTTTTGTAGTTCTGTATACATGTTTTCTTATTTGATTAGTTCGATCTATCAAAGTATAAAATTTAAACACATGAGCACTGTGTTTCTTTTTCATGGTATGCACGCAAAGACATTCTCAATGTTCCCACGCTAGCCGTTTTGGACATGAAGATGCCATTCCAGTAGCGAAGCTTTCCGCATCCTTGAAACGAGAACCCAGAGAATATTCCTTATCATTTGATTCGTACAATGTGGGGCCCCCCAGTTATGTTTGTTGGTTTATAGCCCCCATGGATCCTCTAGTTATAAGTATCATGAACCATAGTTATTGAAATGATGTGGCCCCCAACTTAGCGAAACGATTTCGTTTAGACGGGGACCCCCAGTTTTTTTTTCTCCAGGATTGCGCAGCACATCAAAGACAACTTCAGAGGTTGAGGCGAAGGGCTCGTCGTGTCGATGGTGGGTTGCTTAAAAAGAAAGCACCAGGGGTGATAAATTAGTATTGTGGATGGAAGAAATCCTGTACCACCTTGGATGGTTGAAACCCTATAAACAATTGGATAAACCATCTATCTATTAACTGGTGCAGGATTTCTTCCATCCACAGAATTATAGGTCATTACCACTTGAAATCGTAATACGATTCCTGCGTTTTTTTTTTAAATGAGGCATCATGATTTTGAAGGGAAACCTCCTCATTTATCAACAAAATTTGTTCTTCCGGTTGACGGTAAATGGGCACCCTCTTGTAAAAGAACCTGGCAATGAGAAACAATCCCGTTTTTGATAGGAACATCATCTCTGCCTCAGAGGATAAGAAATTCTTGATGGTGACAACTCCTGAACTAATTGCCTTGAAATTCAGTTTACAGGTTCTTGGCATTGGTTGAAACCAACCCGATTTGTGTACTAGCGGTAAATTCTCACAATCATTACATCACTTACTGTATCTGGTGAACGCTTTCAATTTGCTGTAATGACTGGTTAATTGGACACCACCAACCTGTCAAGGGTTCATCTTGTTGTTTGCTGCTTTTGTTTTCTGTCAGGCATGATGCTTATCGCTGAGCCGCCGGGTGCAGCGTTGTTATGGGCCGTTTTTTTTTGGGCGGGCCTCAAAAAATAGGTTGTTTCTTGCAGCATACTGGAGAGCTTGAAGATCATGGGAATATGTCCTGAGAATATGACACATATCCGCGAGAATGAGGATACAAACAACAAATGCATGCGTTACGTTAAATACGTAACCAAATAATTAAACACTTGGTAGCTAGATAGAAAATAGATGAACAGATAAATTAGTAAATGAATAGACAATCATGATAAATGCAGGAATAATCAAAGCTATGATGCTATTCTTAGAGCCAAGCTGGGACACAAAGAGCAAAAATAGGTCCAAAGCACCAGACTATTCTTGGTGAACAATGCACTGCACATGTGCCGTGGTCAAAAAACGCACGTTTTATTCCCATTACAGTAAAAGGGGATGGGATTTTTCGTGAATGCGTGTTAACACACCCATTATCACCTTTTTTCATATTAGGTGATATGCAAATGAACTATTCCAGAAATATATCATCCCAATATACTAATGGTATACCAGAAATCCCTAATGATAATGATTGCATGATCAGAAAGCCCATCTCCCATGCTTTAGGCATCCAACCTCCACCCAGGTACCGATACATCCGATAGATACATTCATATCAATATACATCCACATCTACATAATAATTATATACAAAGTAATTTGCCTGAACTATTTATATATATATATGCACATATACATGTATACATACATACATTCATCCATTCATCCATTCATACATTCATACATACATACGTACGTACATTACATACGTTCATTCATTCATACATTCATACATACATACATACATACGTACGCACGTACAAACATACATTCATTCATACATTCATACATACATACATACGTACACATGTACAAACATACATTCGTTCATACATTCATACATTCATACATACATAGGTACATCCGTTCATCCATTCATACATTCATACATACGTACGTAAGTACATTCATTCATTCATTCATTCATTCATACATTCATTCATTCATACATTCATTCATTCATTCATTCATTCATAGATACGTACGTACGTACGTACGTACATTCATTCATTCATTCATTCATACATTCATTCATTCATTCATTCATACATTCATACATACATTCATACATACAAACATACATACACATACATACACACATACATACATACATACATGCATACATACATACATGCATACATACATACATACATACATGCATACATACATACATACATGCATACATACATACATACATGCATACATACATACATACATCCATGCATACATGCATACATACATACATACATGCATACATGCATACATACATACATACATACATGCATACATGCTTACGCACATCCGGAGTTCTGTTCAACAAGACAGCGTTTGATCCTGCCCTCTTGGCCGCATGTCAAGAAAGCGCCACCAGTGCGACGTGTTGCCGTGTTGCCTTTGCTGGAAGACCCAGGGCTGTCCTTGAAATGGCGTGGTTTAGACTTCTGCACCGGGTTGATGGTTAAAACCGTATACATATGTATGCATGTATATATATATATATGTATATGTATATGTATGTATATACATAAATAAAGAGCTATTCAGCAAGGTTTATAGCACCCCCAATCAATCGAATCGTTTGACACCTAGGAATTAATTATCAGGCAACTACTACAAGTGGTGCCTCAGTTTGTTAGCTAAGTTGGCTAAAATGTGTTGCTCAACCTTTGGCTTTAAGGTGATGAAGTCACTATCATTAAATGGGGTATAAACCAACAAACATATCTACAGTATAGGAGACACTACCCTAAATCTACTGGCTGATCAAACCATAATTTGCCCTTTTTCTTACATGGCCATACATGGGAGATGGGCCATAGAAAAATCCATTCTCAGACAAAATAACGTGGGTGTTTTTTACATTTTTTTTACTTTTTTTTAGAATTTGGCAGGTGTCTTTCGACGTTCATTGCGTTTTTATCCATTGGCGTTCGCATCGTCCATTGGGTCTTCAAGTAGATGGCTCTTCCGCAGGGAGAACGTGAGAAAAAAATGCTGCACCGCTTGGAGGCGACAAGAGTACTGTAAGCAAAATAGCTGGTTGATGGATGTTGATTTCCCCCTTTATAGACTCGACATTGGACATTTATAGGTGGATGTTGGTTCCCCCTTTATAGACTCGACATTTTATAGGTTTTGACCCATCCCCCAATCCCAAAAACCACCAGGTTTGTCATGGAGGAACTGCCAGGAACCACACCGGCCGCGAAGCCGCAGCATTTGGCTGAAAACGACCAGTGTTTGGATCTCGACCTCGATCTGTTCTCTTTGTTGAACAATGGCTCCTGCTCGTGGCGCGGCATATTTAACGATGTTGGCTGGAAGTTGATATCCACTACAGACTGTGGTTTGGCTTGGGCTGGTTTCATTTGTGTATATACATGTATATACTGTATATACTGCAGTTCTTTGCACATATACAGCATATATATATAGAGTATATTTGAATTTGATCATCGAAATGTACAGTTCATTTGATCATCGATTCTGAGTCTTGCTGCCGAGGCAACGGAAAGCGCCAAGCGACGGGGCACCCAGGGGTCATGTGTTTGATGTATGACGTAAAATAATGTAAAATACGTTTGTTTGTATTATGGGCTGTAAATGTATAGAACGGTATGTATATATATATATATACACTGCATACATATATATATATACATAATACACACTGTAGATTATGCACTCACGGTGTCTATGCGGCAGATCCATATCGAATGGAACACATGGTGCATTTCGCCTGCGCACCTCGAGGTCCGCCCATGTGGAGGAGCCACCACACAAGAAGGTGGCCCCAGTGTTGAAGAAGTACGGCGTCACACAGGTGCCGCCAGATTTCTGCCGGATTTGTTACTATCTTTGTAACTATCTAGTATTTATATATAGTAACCAACCCATTGGGGCCTCATTTATCCAAACGCAGCTTGTCACCCAGCTTGTCACCTTTTCCGTCCGTCTCTCCACAGGCCGCCTTCAAGCAGATGGTTGAGGTTGGCAGAGCTGGTTGAAAGGTGAAACAAAGCAGGAAAGTTGTTGGGTTTTGAAGACCTGAAACTCCAGGTGGGTCTCTTTCTCTGGTTATACATGCATATGTAGGTATGTACATATGTATCGCATCCAGAGAAAGACAGAAACGTGACATCCCACCAACATAGTGATACATTACGTTTCTATCCTTTATTAACTTTATTAGGTAAAAAAGTACTATAGTGAGCCGACCCCACGAAGAAGTTCTCGTTTCCCAGGACCCAGTTTCGCCCCTTCCAGGTGCTGCAGCATCCACTGGCAGGCCATTTGACTGAGGAGCACACACAGGGACTGAGCATTCACATTTCTATCCCACAAGTACCCTCTGGTTATGTCAAAATAGCTATTGAAAATGGCCATTTATAGTGAGTTTTCCCATTAAAAATGGTGATTTTCCATAGTTATGTTAGTTTACCAGAGGGTAATGATAACACCACCCACAAAGAGCCCAAATGAAGGATCCAGCACTAAGCCAAACTTTCTAGAAGGGGTTAGCAACCCGAAACCGATAGAAAGTTGGAACAAATAGATGAGGTCAAGATCTATGACATCCAGCAAGAAACATATTGAACGCACATATTTGGATACTTTGCGGCTGCCGGAAGTGGGACCCCAGAGAATGGTGAGGTGGTGAGGAAGCCAATTTTTCTCTCAGACAACCAGTCAGCCTGGGGGAATCTCATGGGATCCAAAATGCATTATCCATGGTATTTGATGAAGATGAGGTTTATTTTCACTATTTTTTTTTCCATTTGCTAATCCACCAATCATTCGGGGAATCTACTGGGAATATGTATGTAGATTATTTTTGTATCATTTTTTTACATATATATTACAATATCATATGTATCAGAATCATATTATTATATAATATATTATTTATATCTTATATTTATATATATATTTATATTGTATCATATTATTATATCTATGTATTGGTACTTTTATTACTATCATTACAATTGTTATTTAGATTACAGTAGTTCTACTATTTGTCATGGCTCCCTGGATTGCAGACTTCCAATCCTTGGGACATGGCGGAAGGACTGCAAGCAGATGATCTTGGCCATGCTGCCGCCGCTTGGTCCAGCGACATGTGTATAGTAACCCCTAAAACGATAGAGCAGGATTTTACTTTACTTTCTTTTTCAGGATTGTTCAGCTCACATGAGAGTGCATATCTACCGTGATATGTGTGTCTATACATATATATATAATATGCATACACATATATATCTCTCTACACTACACACACATAAATACATAAATACATAAATACATAAATACATAAATACATAAATACATAAATAAATAAATAAATACATACATACATACATACGCCTACCTGCCTGCCTGCCTGCCAACCTGCCTACCTGCCTGCCTGCCTACCTGCCTACCTGCCCACCTGCCCACCTGCCTACCTGCCTACCTGCCTACCTGCCTACCTGCCTACCTGCCTACGTGCCTACCTGCCTACCTGCCTACCTGCCTACGTGCCTACGTGCCTACGTGCCTACGTGCCTACGTGCCTACGTGCCTACGTGCCTACGTGCCTACGTGCCTACGTGCCTACGTGCATACCTGCATACCTGCATACCTGCATACCTGCATACCTGCATACCTGCATACCTGCATACCTGCATACCTGCATACCTGCATACCTGCATACCTGCATACCTGCATACTTGCATACCTGCATACCTGCATACCTACCGACCTACCTGCCTACCTGCCTACCTACCTACCTACCTACCCACCTACCCACCTACCTACGTACCTACATACGTGCATACGTACATGCGTACATGCGTACATGCGTACATGCGTACATACATACATACATACATACATACATACATACATACATACATACATACATACATACATACATACATACATACATACATACATACATACATACATACATACATACATACATACATACATACATACATACATACATACATACATACATACATACATACATACATACATACATACATACATACATACATACATACATACATACATACATACACACATATACATATACCTATACCTATACCTATACATACGCATATATACATATACATATACATAAGTAAATAAATAAATATATATATATACATATATATATTTAAGTAATATTTACGTATATACACATTTGTATATGTATGAACCTGGTTTATCCCATCTGTTGCTGTCATACAAGTAGCTAGAATAAAGTGGGTCAGAGTGCCCAGGTTGTGGTGGCATCACGGGTTGCTTTGTGCAGTAGTTTAGAACCAGCCAGCAAGCTGTGTTGAGAGCATATGATGAGGGTGCTGGCCTAGTTGATCTATTGTTGTTGGTCCTTCGCCTTTTTGCTAGAGATGATGTTCCCAATATTGATGTATTGGGTATGAACGAATTTTTGAATCTTGGGGAACCACAGAGTCATTTTTGGGAGTTCCCAATGATGGTTCCCAATCGCTTGCTTCTTATTGGGATGGACTCTGGAGCCAGGATCAATGTTTTGTACTTGCAATACCCCCCAACTGGGAGATATTTCATGATATTTCTATATAATGTGGTAGACCCCAATATGAACCCTAAACCCTAATTTTTCATTGAGGAGTTGTATGAAACTGCGAAGTTCTTGTGGTTTAAACGGTGATTTCGCATGGCAACGGCACATCCCGACTTTTGATGGAACAAAAATTTGGGATCATCAAATAGTCAGGGGTGAATTTCCAGCAAAGCAGGTCCTGGATTTCAGCCATCATACAGCAACTAGCTTTTTCAAATCTCACAATATATAGGTTTTTCCATAAATGGGGGTACCCCCATAGCTGGATGGTTTATTTCATGGAAGATCCCATTAAAATCCATTAAATATATGAATAATTAGGGGGTATCCCCACGACTTAGGAAACCTCCATGACTGGATCCTTTCTGGATCCTTTCATACTTGGTGCGTTGAGGCACAGCTTGTGTGTTCCCAGCGACCAGCGCGAGGTCGGAATCGGCCCATGGCCCACCATTCCACCCGGCCAGCCATTGATTTTACCCGGCCAGTGGCAGGAAGTGCAAAACTTGGCGGTGAAGATGTTTGAGGAGGCTCCTGCGGACAGGGACCTAAGGAAGTGATCCGTAGCCAGTTGTTGAGGTTTGATGATTCGGATGATTCAATCCATTCCATCATACCAAAGTTTTGCTACTTTCACTCCATGTCCCCATGTTCCATTATGGAAATCTACACAGTATTAAAAACATTTCTAGATATATGATGATATATGTACATTCAATCAAATCACATCAATTGATATCCAACATTCTAGATATTATGTACATTCAACTCAACCATATTGAAATTGATAATCCTTGATATATCCTGATATCAACCATATTGAAGCATGTTCTATATATCAAATCATGGTATTTCCACAGGGTAATCCTTTGTTTTTGGTCGGGGCTTCGCTGATAAAAAGGTCGTGGCATCTGTGGAAGGTCACCTGAAGGAGGCGCCATCTGCAGGTTTTTCTTGGCACTGAAGGTGAAAAGACGGTGAAAGGTGAAAGAAATGGGTCAAGATGTTGGTTACACCCACATGTTTCCTTCATTTTTTCGGAGTGAGGTTGACCAAAAAACCATGACATCTCCCCGTGTTGTTACGGAGTTTTGATGATGAGAGGTCGGGATTTAAGCCACAATATTTTTGTGCGAAGTCAAGGGATGAAAATTGGGATTCATCCTGGAAGTTGGTCGCTGATGGTCGCTGGATGGCTTCGCCGCCCCTCAGATAGTCGTCATGGCTTTCTTTTGACAACTCATCGTCAATCCTTCCAGGATCAGGGTTATCATTCTCTCTCTCTCTCTATACGTATGTACATATATATATATGTATATGTACATGTATATGTATATGTATATATATATGTATGTATATAGTATATGTATATATAAATATATACATATCTGGAGATACCATCCCAAGTAACAGCTCGACGCTGGTAAACTCCCAGACATCCAACGCGAGCCAGCTGAGGCGTTGGAGGCCGAAAAGAGCAAGGTGAAGACGATCACTGACTCCAAGGTGGATCAAAACATATTGGGATATATCTATTACATTCTATTACAATATGAGGATATCTATACATAAGATCATAAGGATATTGTAAACATATTGTATATATATATAGGTGTCCCAGGAATGGGCCAGTCTGATTTAAATCTTGTGACTTCAGATGATCTGGGAAGATTCCATGTATTGTTCGCTAACGGGGATGTACCGTCAAGTAGGGAAAATATGATGATAAACCAGTTATCAAAAACACCGATCACGAGAAAAGGTCATTAGAAATTGGGAGAATAGGATATTTGGTCAGAAATAGTGGATTTACCTCCAATTCTGGCCGTAAAATGAGAGAAACATGGTATTTTAAGGTATATACTGGGTTTTGGACAATCCCAAGTGTTCACAATGAGTTTCCAAGGGTTGGAGTTTTCCGGAGACACCGAACCGAACTCCTGTCAATTCCCACCTGGCCAGGAGCAACTGCTTTCAGACGTTTCGAAGGCCCAAGAGCAGTTGAAGGACCCTGTGGGATGGGCCCCAAGATGACCAGTGCCGAAATCTTCGGCAGAGATTTCCCCATGTTTGAAGCAGTGCAATCAGGACGCCGAGAAGGATTTGGAGCAGAAAAACCAGGAGTTGACTGCCAGCTCTCAGGCACACTGGGGATTTTGGATTTTGGACCGTGCCTGTTTTATGATTTTTCTATGTTTTTCATTGTTTTTCTAGATTTCTATTTTTTTTTTGAGAGATCCGTTTTTGGATGTTACTGTTGACGATGAAGGACCAGCCTGAAATTTGTAAGAGGTTGGCATCATTCATCGGCAGAGATCTTGGGGACTGAGGCCGTTGTAGCTGCGAAGACCTTCCTATCAAAGAAGGAGGACGCTGGTGGCCATGGGGCCTTGAGGTAGAGTCTGGATGTGTCTGGCAGGTCATTTATCCCATCCTAATATTTTTACCACCTATATCGGCCTTCAAATGAATATATTCAAAACACGTATTGAACCAGGGGGTCGTTTCATGTCAAGCGAATGGGATTTGCATTGCAGCAGGGATTTACCTTTCGGGCAGAGAAGGAACAAAAGACAAGGAGGGGAATGGGATTATAATAGGATTGCTGAAGGAAATCACTATGGTCCTCCAACTAATGGTTCTGTTGTTATTATATAACTAACAGAACCTATTATAAAAAATTGGACCATAGTTAACTAATGGTGATTAGATATGATTAGATTATTTCAAAAAAAATACAGAACACATTGTTGTTGTTTCAGGATGTTGATGATGATTTTCACTACCACCTCATTTCCAGGTTTCCAACTTCTCAACATATCTTGGGGTTGCTAGACTTGTCTCCGCTTTTTTGGGTGTTCTTGGCATTTCGGTATCTTTTTCAAAGGCCCCGGTTGATGGTTAGTCCCCTATGAATAGTGCCACAAAATGGGGGGCCCATCTCCAGTCTTCGCCAAGTCTTGCCACATGGAGAGCTTGTTGACGCGAACGCCAGGAAGAGCAGACAACTGGGGATGCGAGCCTCCTTCAGACCGAAGCTGACAAGGTGCCGCTAATGGGGATCCCTGGGAACCAGAGGATCTTAACCACAAATACTGGGCATTTTGGGAGTTTCTTAATTCATGACCCGAAGGTATCATCCCGAATTGATCATTTTTTGATGGGGAAAGGCCTGATGAAAAGGGGTGCCAGAATTTTGCGAAACACGCAAATGGTGATCTAAGCTAAGCATGATATATATATATACATATAAATAGTATATATATAGTGTTGTGATAGGATCTAGGGTACAAAATAGATCCCAACATTTGGACGGTAACATGCATAGACTAGTTAAGACGGATTGTACCCAGAAACATGACCTATCACATGAGTATATGTCAGGTGATCAGACTGAATTGTACCGAACTCCCTGATATCACCATAGATGATGTTTTTTTTCTTTTAATGAATGGGCAAACTCCCACAATTCCAGTTCTTTCATGTGTTTTATACATTCTTTTTTCATAATCCAGCCAGAGCAATCTGAAGTACCCCATAACTCATGGCACGATGCAGAGCAGGACGCCCAGAAGATGCCTACAGCCTTGTCTTTTTCGATGATCATTATCAATAATCAAATAATCACATACAATTACTATCAATTACTGTACTATTATCCTTTGTATGTTAATTGATAGTTAATTATTTGATAAAGCCAGTAATTGATAATTAACATACATAGTCCAGTTATGAGAATCCTTTGTATGTTAATTACTATCAATTACTGTACTATTATCCTTTGTATGTTAATTGATAGTTAATTATTTGATAACATCCAAAGGATAATAGTTAATTGTTAATTATCAATTGATATTATTTGATATTTTCCATTGATGTTAATTATCCTTTTGTTAATTGATAACATATCTTAATTCTCATCCTTTTTAAAGCCAGAAATTCGCATCCTTTCGGAGGCTGAGCTGCAGAAGGCCTTCGAGGGTGTCTTTCTGATGGTGGAGGTGGGTTGATCATCTGAGCGCCGTGTAGTGAAGTGATTTGGGTAGCATTCTGGAGCCACAAGATTTTCACAACATTGGCACTTGATTTAACTTGATTTTGTTTATTTTTGAGTTGATCATTGTGATTTTTACAAGCCAGAAACTATTGCTGGGGTTGATGATTTTGGACGCCCATTTGGGTGTTTCTGTTAGAATTTTGAAGGGGACCCCAAGGCATCATCAAAACCATCAAAACCAGGGGCCTGGACAAAGAGATTTTTCGTTCATCTCAGATGACTTCTCCAAGGTCCCCAAAAGTGTAAGCTTTGTTTGTTGGTTTATGTTAGATCCCATCCAACAGTTACTTCTGTGAATTCATCAGCATAAAGCCAAGGCTTTTATTTTTCTTATGTCAAGCAACTTCGCAGACTTAGCAACATCAACCAAATCTACATCCCCATTTTTGGTGGTGAACTCCCAAGCTTTTTGGCAGTCAGATCACCACCTGTGGCACCACACGCAGGCGGGAGAGTCCACAGACTCTGCCGCACAGTTGAAGGCCCCGCGGTTTCACGAACGTGTTTGGGCCGTTGCAGCAACGGGGTCATCCAAAATCGTGGGAAGCTACGGGAAAATCACCGCACGAAATGGAGGTTTCTTGCTGGGAAAATCATTGAACTAAATGGTGGATTGTCCGGCAATATATGTATATTTATATACATATATGTATATATATATGTGTATATATATATATATAGGTATATATGTATATATATATATTTTTTTTTTAGACATATGCACCAGGCCCTGCCAACCCCCCCATGGGATGGGTCACATATACTGGCCCCATATGAGATCTTCCTCCTCCCCCCCCTGTGGTGTGGTGGGGGTGTGGCACTGTCCCCCTCCCCCTCCCTGTGGTGTGGTGGGGGTGTGGTATGGTATGTTGGGTATGTATGGTGTGTATGGTCGGTCTGGTATGGCAAGTTTGGAAAGTATGGTATGTTTGGTAGGTATAGTATGTATGGCATGAATGGTTGGTATTGTATGGATGGCAGGTATGGTATGTAAGTCTGTTGGGTATGGTATGTTTGATATGACAGTATGTATGGTCTGTATGGTATGTATGGTTACTATGATGGGCATGGAATGTTTCCTATGTAAGGTAGGTATGGTATGTATGGCATGTATGTTGGCTATTGTATGTATGGAGGTGTGGTAATTATGTTTCATATGTATGGTATGTGTGGTATGTATGATATATATGATAGGTATGGTATGCATGGCATCATTGGAATGTATGGTAGGTACGGTATATGTTAAACACATGTAGTGTTGTCAGAGTACACAGGTAGTAAATAGGAAGTAGATACATAGCACATGTATATATGACTATAGGTAGCACGTAGGTACTTTGAGGGAGTATGTGTGTTACGTAGGTCGCCTAAAAGGTAGCATGTACCTAGTAAATGCGAGGCTGGTAGTCAGAAATGCTGCAAAGACCTAGCAAATACGAAGCTGGACCTCAGAAATGCTGCCAATAGCTTGCAAATAGAAGAGAAGTGGGGGTGCTACCTGGGGACCCAACACATTGGGGGGGGGGTGGGTGGAGAGACGGAGGTAATATATATATATATATATACACATACATATATATTATATACGTATATATATATAATTATATATATACATATATATAAGTATATATATATACATAGATATATATACATATACATATATATATATATACGTACACAATATATATATATATAGACTAGATCCTGCTCCTGTACATGTAGATTGGACATCAGAAACCATGGTTTTTACAGTTTTTTTCCTTTAAATCAACTTATCGAGTTATGTGATTCACCCCATTGTAGTGTTGTGATTCGCCCCTCAAGAGTTGGATGCTGGATGTTGGATGCATGGGATTATGTATCTATGAGGGGGTTTCCATAAATGGTGGTACCCCAATAGCTGGATGATTTGGTGGTACCACCATTTTAGGAAACCTCCATTTTCTGTACACGTAAATGCAAATGCACTCAGCCCGAAGCCTCGTGAATATGGGTCAGGTCACCCTGGCATGGCCTCGGTGTGCATTCCAGAATAGCTGGTAAAATCATACTTTTCGGTTATATATCCCATGAAATTACATATCATAAGCGCCATATTATTATATCGACATCCCCATTTATAATCATTTACAGATGATTTCCCCATTAAGTATGATATATATATATATGATAATATATATATATATGATATTTGATCTATGATATCTCTCTCTCTCTATATAGTATTATTAAATGACATATCCCCAGCCCAGATATGGGACTCTTCTATCATTGGGAATCCGGCTAGGTCTTTGAATCCGCCATGAAGAAGTTGACCATGGAGGTCTGGGGTGGCTGGGGTGGCCATCATGTAGGTACTGTACCATATAAGTCGCCATATTTCGTGGGGATATTCCCTGAAATTTTTGCCTGAGATATGCTAGGTACCTCCAATCAATCGGTACCTGAAATGGCAATTTTAGTGTTTCTACCATGTTTCCAGCAGGAGTATATGAATGACAATGTCTACCATGTAAGGAGTATATTATGTTATGTCATGTTTCTACAATCATGTTGGTATCTAGAAAGAACAGCAACTATAGACAAATGGACAAATGGACAATATCTATATATATATATATGTATATATTGACACCGTATGGATATGACTTAGAATGAGTCTTGGATGATTTTTTCGATATTTTCCAGTCCCAAGATTTGAAATGGACATTGTGGTGTCCCGCCTGGATTTGATTTGATGGTTTGATTCTCGTTGGTTCTTGTGCTTGTATAAGAGCCTCAAATGGACGATGTCCAAACGACGCGTTGATCTTGATTATTTGGTTCATTGGTTGGTTACCTATCTATATGGAAACTATTACATTTTCACTCCTGAGAAACAAATGTTCGCAACATGGACATTTTGAGTGGTAGAAAGGTCCACCAACACTTGTCTTGGCTGCATCTCCAAGATTCTTGCTGAGAAACCCAACATCTGTTTCTTGGATTTGTTGGCAAAGCCGCTTGCGTTGGTCAACTGTGAACCCCCGGATTGTTCTTGGGTTCCACAATATATGTATGATTATATATATATACACACCTGTATACATACAATATATATTTCTATACCTGGATACATACAACATATATATATATATTCACGTATGCATATATATATGTATATTCACGTATATACAATATATATACAGTATATATATATATATATGCCTGAATACATACAATATATATATATATCTATTCACGTACACATACAATATATATATATATATCTGTATATATATATATTGTATGTATACGTGAATATGTATATATATACATATATATATACACATATGTATATATATATATATGTATATAAACCACCCAGCTCCCTATTGATTTCTTCACCCCCTTCCGCCACGTCTTGTGGCACTCCAGGAGTCCCTGAAGATGGCCATTCTTCCCGCGTGGATGCCAAGTGTGGTGCTGGCACAAGAAGTGGTTCCATTTATATACATATCTGTATTTAATTGATTGTATTTATCTATTGCAATATTTGTATCACTATTAATGTCTATTAAAAAACTGTATGCATACATAAATACATACATACATACATACATACATACATATACACATCTGTAACCTCATATTACTCAATTCATTGTATCACATTAATGTATTTGGCTGTAAACTTATATAGAATGCCATTCGCCATAGATTATGGAATATTATGGCTTGAAGGGGAATTAGCCAGAAATCGCCTTGTTTCAGGTTGGTGAATGGCTATGCTTCAGCCAGACGTATAGCTGGATGAACTAGAATGGTTTGGTATCTGCTTGCGATTCCTGGTCACATCCAAGTAGGTGAGGCAAGCTAAAGCTGATGTTTCCGAAGATTGCCATTTGTTTTTGGGTACTGAATGACATGATACATACCTGGCATGAGATGCACTTGGGATTTCATGGTAGAACCACTGCAGCCTGACCTACTCGCTGGCGCCTGGAGATTGAAGTTCTAGCTCAAGCCCGAGGCTCGGGTTGCCCAGGGCCCAGCGCCCACGTGTTGGCATGCAATGTTTGTACAAAACTTTGGACTTGCTGCCCTCTGCCACAGACCATGAGATCAGAAGTTGGCACCGTCGTTGTGCCTTATCCACTCATCCAAATAAGGGCAGGTCTGCGGAAGCCTTCCGTTCGGTAGTGCATGCATTTGAAACCTTGATTGATACTAGTAGACGAGCTACCTATGACCAGCTGCGGCGCTGCCGCAGCACGTCGTCTTCTGCATCCAAAAAGCGAGCAGCGTCAAGTACCAAGTTGGGCAAGCCGGCCCAGCCGGCCCAGTCGGCCCAGCCGGCCCAGCCGGCCAAGGAGAAGTGCACGCCCGGCAAGCGGGCCAAGAACGCACGCGCGCCTCCAAAGCCATGCAAACCCGCAGTGCCGCCAGCCACCGCAGCAGCAGAGACGGACTGCAATCCAGGGGATTACGCTCAACTCTTCCGCACACTGCTACGTATGACAAAGAAACAGGGAGTAGAAGAGTTGCAGAAACTTTCAGAGGAGATGTTGAATGCTTTCGCACGATTTTTGGATTCTGTGAATTTTTTTCGCACTGATTGAAGAGATTGTGTGCGAGTCGCGGCTGCACAAGTGTTCAGGCCGCATCCAAGATCTCCGGGGCGCAGCTGAGGCCCCAACGCTGCTCGTGCTCGTGTTGGGAAGCCACCGCTGAAAGGTATCTCTTGGATCAACCGTAGGATCTACAAAACTAATACGTCTTTATTCACCGGCTTTGAGATCACGGCGCAGAACCTGAAACAATTAGATGTGGCCATTGACATGCACATCAGCATGGTGCAGATGCGCCAATATGTAAACGCTGGTTTGGCAGAGGGCATGGACTTGAGACAGGTGGTACAGGATGCGATCGAGACCGTCCAAAACGAGCGTGCCACTTCTGGTGCTGAGGAGTTGCGTCTGGGTTTCCGATCGCAGTGGAAGCGAGGCCGCACACCAACCACTCACGATTTGGGCAGGGCATTCCAGAGCTCCCAGAAGGTTTACAAGTGAACAGCTTTCAATCTCCCGATGACAGCCTTTGTGTCACACTTCATTTGTCTGATGGAACTGAGGCCGTCGGTCCCTATCGCAAGAATTTTCGGATTCGGTGATTTAAGTGGCCGTGTAGTCGTGCAGATATCGTGGTGGATAAGATTGGACCTCAACATGACATGCACGATATATCACGAAACCACAGAGCCTTACAATGCGCCCAATTCCTGCAGAAAAAGAGTGACTCGATAGTACATAGTCCATAGTGACAGTCATGTCAGTAGCCAATGGCCAGTGGTCTGTGTCACAAGCGGCACCAATAACAGCTCAAGCCGTGCAACTTCCCCGCAGGTGCCGAGTGACTTGATTCCATACCTATTCTGCCATGTTTGGTTTGATGCCCTCAATGTTTTTTCTGTCTCCCATTTGTGGTTAATGAAACCAGGGGATAAAATCTAATCATTCGCTTGGGTGTGTGTGAAAATGGGCTCCGGGCCTATCCGGGCCTCATTTATCGCTTTCTTTCTAGGGGGGATGATGGTAATCTAATGGATCAGGTCCTACAGAAGCCGCCTGCTGAGCGTGGCGGTTTTGATGCCACGGTGCTCTCCGAGTTTCAGAACATCTTTGAGGCGACGGCATATCAAAAGGTGGTGATTTAACTATCAAAACATGGCGATTTACACCAGCACAATGTTCAACACATGGACATTCACATCCATTCCGTATTCGTCTACCAAACTACACAATGTCTCCGTTTGTATCCCGTGTGTGTTGCTTTTGTCCATTTTTTGTTGAGCCATCTAATTTTTGTTGGTTAAAGCATCTTAAAGCCAGCCTTTAGCCCCATCCCCATGACTAGGAACCCGCCCATTCCAATCAAGAAGAACGCATCGGGCTGGAAAATCATGAGGTTGTCTGAGAGGCAAACATAACCTTTCCAACATTGGGGGTGCATCCCAGGAATTGCACGTGGTTTTGAAAATGACTCATATGCCAACCCGAAACTGGGGTACCAAGTCGATCCTTTTTGGAAACCCTAAAAAGATCGAACAGCAATTTATCATAATTTATCATACAGCTATCATGATTTATCACTATTCTAGTGGGATTTTACCATATTTTACCAACTTCTACTGTTTTTTAATTGGGCGTTGCGACATCCGGCGAAGACCTGCAGGCGAAGCTGCGTGAGTTGTCGGAGATGCTGCAGCAAGGAGCTCCTGAACGCCAGGCGATCCCATGATCCTATTTCTAGGAAAACCATGGGAAAATATGACGGTTTATTGGGAAAACCATGGGAAAACCTAGGAAAACCATGGGAAAATATGACGGTTTATAATGGATCAATGAATTATCCCAAACCAATGCCCATGTTTATAGAAAACATGGTTTATAGATGGTTATCCCAAACCAATGAAAATCTGATTGGTGGTTTGGAACATGTTTTTTTCCAGATATTGGGAATAAGCATCCCAACTGACTTTCATATTTTTCAGAGGGGTTGAAACCACCAACCATATATATATATGTATAGCTATTACTGGTATATTGTTGTTATGTAATAGTAAACTACAATATATATATATATATATACATACATACTGGGTGATCAACAATAATGATATGGGATTATAACATGGGTTACTAACTTAAGGATTTAATTACGACATTATCAAGGGATTGGTTTAAGGGAAAATCTACAGGAAACCATGTTTTTTTTTCCCCCCCCATGAAGATCATAGGGGTTTCCTGCAATTTTTTCCCTACACCACTCCATTGATCATATGAACCCTAATTGTTTCATTGGATGGGTTTATGATGGGTTGATTGAGTCCGGTTCTTCGGAGTAGATGTCACTTTGTGTCAGTCGGAGGAAAGCCCCACAGTTTTCACCCAATGTTTATAACTTTATAACTATGTACTTGTTTGTGCACACAGATTCAAAGTTCCAAACTCTGAGAGATTCCAGTACAGATGTAATCACTAGAGTCTAGAGGAAACTCCATTACGTCTATAAGTTCGTCTTTGACAATCTTGACCTAAAACACCATCAAGTCAGAGAGTACAGTCCATTTCGTGATTTTTTCATTCTTTCTTGTCCGAATTGCAAGTGCCACCCTTTCAGCAATTCCACTCAACCTCCTGTTTGTTTCAGCTAGGGAAGTAAAAGAGATTGTTCCTTTCGCGCTTTGAGCCCCATAGAATTGTATTTTCTTTCCCCAATTTTGCTGGTCAAAAGCATACATCTTTTAAAAGTTCCAAACTTCATGATGTCTCACAATTCCTCCCCAGAAAAAAAATGGGATGATCATTGAAATTTTGTTGAATCATTCATATGTGTACTTAAAACGGAGGATCCCCAAGTCACCGACTGATCTAATTTTGGATAATCTGCGGTGCCCCTCTTTTTGGAAACTTCCTAATATAAAATGTAATATATATATATATCAAAATCATATATATATATATACAATTATATATATAATAATATCCATACACTTATAATTATATATATAACATATATGATTATATATGTAACTACATATATATATATTATTGTATAATTACATATATGATTATGTATATATATATATACATATCAATTATACATATTATATAGAATATAATGTAATATATACAATATAATATTTATAGAATATAGTATACTATGATATTATGCCTCTGATGCGAGCTGGCCGTTGCACAGTTTCTTTTTCTGCAGCCTATGTGCAGTTGTCAGTTTCACGTAGATGTTTTTAGTAGCTTGACATGAGCACTCTGTATATGATAATATCTATAATCCCCCAAACTTTGGGATGGTTTCAGGTCTCCCACAAAACTTCCCCCAGCCTGATAGAACTCCGACTCCAGGCGCGTCAGCTGTGTGTGGACCAAGCCCGGGCACAGTTGGAAGAGGCCGAGACCAAGCAGAAGGCACCTGGGAACGGTGGCGCCGGTGGGAAAATCATGGGACACCCTGTTTTTTGTTGGAAAGACCTTGGAGATTTTGAAGAAATATTGGAGAACTCTGGGAAAATGATGGAACAACTGTGGTGAACAAACAAAACGGGGTTGGGAAGAAATCGCCAAAGAAAAAATGGGGATTTATTTCACCAACTTAGCAGCAAACATTGGAATTTGGGAGGGATGGGGGGCGAAATGTGGAACTTTGGATCATCCAAGTTCTTGGTCATCTTTGGGATGAGCAATGGCTAAAAGGGGTTCCCCATTTTAGGCCCCCCCCATTTGGGCTGACAGGAGTGTTCTGGTGAATTGCTGGCTTCCAAGCAGAAGCAGAAGGAGGCACCTTTTTTTTTTTGCTGCGAGGGGATGCTGCTGGAAACTTCGCTAAGGGTTTGACAGTTGGGTACGGTTCCATAGAGTGCAGTGAACTTCCGGGATTGAACTTTGGCAGACTTAACCCACATCATTGCACTATGTTTTTGATGCTGCAACGAGTTTCTTTGAAACTTCAGTTTCTTCTCTGAAATGGGGGATTATTCTTGAAGAAGTCTCGCATTTGCCAGCATTGAAATTTTTTCATTTACCTTGTGATGGGTTTTTCCCATCGCTGAAACACAGCAAAAGAATCAAAGCTGTTGCTGGTTGAGGATGCCATTTAATACAATACTCGTTGGTTGTTCCCAGATCCATCAAGTGAAATGGATGTGTCATATCCATATTTTCGCTCGCCAATTTCCTTTTTTTGTTGGTTGCCCATTGGTGGTGCTTAGATTTCCATTGATGTTAGCTATAGTGCAAAGAGGGCCATGAGAAACACCCCCCAGTAAACTAACCGAACTATGAAAATCCATGGCTTTCACTTCTACAAATGGTGGATTTTCATGCTTTGTCAGTATACTGGAGGATATCCCTCTTGAACTACATATATATATAATATAATATAATATAATATAATATAATAGAATATAATATAATAAAATATAATATTATATAGTATAATATAATATGATATAATATAGTATAATATAATATAATAAAATATACTAACATAATATAATATAATATAATTAGTATAGTATAATATAATATAGTATAATATAATATGATATAATATAGTATAATATACTATAATATAATATAATATAATAATAAAATATAATATAACAATACAATACAATACAATACAATATAATATAATATAATATAGTATAGTATAATATAATATGATATAATATAGTATAATATACTATAATATACTATAATATACTATAATATACTATAGTATAATAATATAATATATTATAACAATACAATACAATACAATATAATATAATATAATATAGTATAATATACTATACTATAATTTAATATAACAATACAATACAATACAATATAATATACAATACAATACAATATAATATAATATAATATAATAATATAATATAATATAATATAACAATACAATACAATACACTATAATATAATACAATACAATATAATATAATATAATATAGTATAATATAATATGATATAATATAGTATAATATGATATAATATAGTATAATATACTATACTATACTATAATATAATATAATATAATATATAATATAATATAATATAATATAATATAATATAATATAATATATATACATACATTACACGGTTTTTCATTCCACTTGTGTATGATATCCCATTGATGGTGGGATGACCATGAGCGCCACCTCCATGTTTCACGAGGCCACCAGCGCATTGAAGGAGGTGGAGGCCTCCGTGGCATCCTATGAGGCGACCCTGAAGGTGCCAACCGCTTGTGAGCCAACCATATGATTTATGTAGATAGAAAGAAAGGAAGAAAGAAAGAAAGATAGATAGATAGATAGGTATATAAACACCATTGGAACCAGAAGAATGGTAAAGAAAGCAACAAATGGTGGATATCGCGATGGTTTTCAGATGAACAAAAACCATGATTAGTTTCCGTTGAGTAAATCGGACAAGGCGAGTTGCAGGACTTTGCGATACGCAGGCTCATTCACTACTCATCGACCGGAACGCTTTAATCTTAAAATGATGGTAGCCCCAAATCATCCAAAACTAAACAATCATTTTACTCTTGAAACCTGTTGTTTCTTTTTGGTATGGCAGTGAAGTTTATCACCTTTTTTTATGGGCCAATTATATAAATGGATAGAACGTCTCGTGGGAAACAAACCTTCCCATCAGGGCCATCAATCGAGGGTGTCCTGTCAGGCAGCCATGGATGTGCAAGACGAGAAGCAGAAGGAACTGTGGGCGAAGCGGCGAAGCGCAGCGGATCGCTGTGAGGTAGTATCTCTACACACCCGAATCATATCTATCGATTTTGGTTGGATATATATATATATCATATCAGTAAGAACTTTGCTTGGGTTCCACTGTTCTTGTAGGTCCATATGCCCGTTTGTGACATCTCTTGTCGATTATTTCCCCTTATTATTTGGTGACGCTTCAAATTTGGATAGCGAATTCATTCTTTCAATGGGTATTGAATACCAAGATCAACATCTGCCAGGGTCGTCAAAGAATTTGACATTTTCAGACATTTTGAGCTATGTACCGTGCAGAATCGCACCCCAGATCATCTTAAATAGCCCCAGTAAAGGACCCCCTTATCATGAATAGATCCAATCCTAAACCAACGTTTGTAGGGGCGGTATGTATTTTTTAATGTTGGGGGGGATTGGATACGAATGACTACCATTTAGCATCATCCCCACTACATCCCATGAAAAAATCTGCATTTTTCTTGTTAATTCCCAATGTTTCCTGTCTAGCAACTATTTTCATCATGGAACACCCTTAAAAAGATTGTACAACTTGTACAACTGTATACAACCGTCAGCCATCATTTGTGGATTATATCATATGATATCATCATCATTTGTGGATTATATCATACTATATCATATTGCTTCATTTTGTACATCAAAATATACCAACTACATCCCGCATGGTTTTCCGAATCCTGTTCACCATGGACCCTCCAATGGCCCACAAATCCCTCCAGCAGGATGTGGACAGCTTTGTGGAGACCACCATGAAGGGTTTCACCAATCTCAAGGACGTGGAAGTTGGTCGGATTTCTGCGGATTGGTGCGTGGGATGTAACTGGAGATGTGCATGCCGGATAGATATGACATACACAGTCATAAACACATATATATATATATAGAGTAGATCCATAAATACTATACATATATGTAGATAGTTATACGATATATGTAGATACATAAATGCTACATGTATATAGACATACAGAGAAGTATATGTACTTGACATTTGCATATTTGTATATATATATATTTGTATGTATATATATATATATTTGTGTATATATATATATGTATATATCAATCTATGAATCCATCGATCCCTATATCCACCTGCTCCAGCTCGATGAAGATTAGTGGTGTCATCCAGTTTAGCAAGCTGGGAAATGCCCCATTTCGTTCGATGATTTCCCAGGGTGGAACAGGGGCCCTGAGGTGATCTGGCGATGGCATGGCAAAAATCCAAACTGACCAACTTTGTACATGGACAACCTGAACTGGTCGCATTTGGGCAACTAGGCATCGGTCCAAAAATCCAAGAGGTATCCCTTAGTCACCTCTTGCAACAGCACCTCTGAACCTTTGGCTCAAGGGTAAAACGGCCATTTTGGCAACACAGTCGCCTTGTGAGACCCCTCGAGACTTCCAGGTGTGGGGGATGGGCGGGTCTATTAAACCACCAGAAATGGTGAGATCATAAACAAAGATGAGAATTTGATCATGTTTTTTCTTCTTAGTCGTTGGTTCATGGGATTTTCATGGATTTGACACGGCACTTGCGGGACAATCTCCTCCTTAAATGGGTAGTATCAAGTGCTCGCAGGCGACGCCATGCAGGAACAAGAACTGGAATTGCAGGCACCGCCGGAAGGGGATCATCGGGGAAGGTTGATAGAGGTGGTCATCGCGTTTCCAAAAAAAATCACGACCTATCATGACCTATCTATGTATCGGTTTTCAGCTGCAGTTTGAAGGAAATCACTCTGTTTTCATCCACTGTTTTTGACAGACAGCCTGGGGTTTCACCAGCGTCAGGCCGTGATTGGCTTCAAGGGCACGGTGCAGAGCAGCCTCATCCTGCATCCTGATCAGGTGCAGAGATTTCTTCGTTTTTTTTGGGGTAAACAGAAGTAAACCATATTTATCACAGATGAGTTTCCCATTTGTAAGGCATTTGTGGTCAACATTCTTTTTACACATTCTTTTGCATTCTTTTTGCACATTTGGTCACATTTGTTACACGTAATTTAAGAGTCTATTCAGACCAGAAAAGCTGATTGAAGAGGCTAAATTTTCAGGGTTTTTGCCAGGAGCATCTCATCTTTCCCCTGGGCTGCACGGCATGGCACCCAGCACAGCAGGAGGATCCATAGGATCCACCATCCCCAGATTGAGATAGATTTACCATGTTTATGGGTGGTATAAACCATCAATCCATGGTGCTTTTTTATTGCTTTACTACTATTAGTGGGTATAAGCATGGCTGAACTTCACCTCCATAAGTTGGGAATTTGTGCCCTATGATTATGGTGAAATATATCCACTAAGTTCACTGGAACTGCACCCCCAAGTGCTTGCCGTCTCAAAGAAAAGGCAACCTCAGCGGGTGTACACCAATGTTAAGTTGTGAATGGATAGCCAAACTTGGTTGCCTTCACTGCACTTGTCTCCACCCTAAGTTTGTGGCTGGATAAATGCCATTAGTTTATTCTGACTAATTCCATTGGTGCAATCCGCAATGTCTCCAAAAACCTCGCAATCTCGAAAAAAGAAAACCTAACTTGAATCTGATAGGCATTTCCCCAATGTGTTTTTGTTCAAACGGCACCTTCATCTCAAGGGGGCCACGCTCAGGTGGTACTTCGGAACCTGATCAAACGCACTCAGGCGTCCGGAGGCTCAGAGGTAGTGGAAATGGCTCAGGGTTTTGAATCTAGGGATATCAATGATATATCAACCATATCAACCATCAAGTGAGGATGAACTCAGTATTGCGGAAACAATGGGTTTTAAGCTACGCACATTTCCTTCAAGCAGCGAGAGAGAGAGAGATATATATATCTATCTATATACATATATACATGGGACGAAAACCCAGAGAAAGCAGGGAATACAACCAACAATGGATCATGATGATCCACAATAAACAAAACATATATCATGGTTCTGGGCGATCATGTGGATCTTGTCAGGATCTTAGTCAGCTTGGCCAACCATGTGAGTTTGTCCAATAACGCAATAACAATTGCAATTTTTATCGGAACATGATGTTCCAAAATTCTAAAACAATGTGGCTTTGGGTGGGTTTTCCCATACCCTCTGGTAATTTAACATACCTATAGAACATCACCATTTATAGTGAGTTTTCCCATGAAACATGGGGATTTTCCATAGTTATGTTAGTTTACCAGAGGGTAATTTTCAGGCACCAAAGCCAGATGGGTTGGGCCTTCATTCAACTGTTGGTCCTTCTCACATCTGCCTTCGCCCAGGTTCCTTCAGGGACATGACAATCAGGTGCGGTTCCGAAGGGCGCCGGGCGGGGTGACAGGATGACATGGACATACTTCCATCGAAACCATGGAAGTGGGAAGATCTGGGAGATCTCTAGGGAAGGTCTACTGGACTTCAAATGAATTGAAACACTTCAGAGTCTCTGACATGGGATTCGTGTGGTTCTGTAGCAACGATTGTCGAGTACAACTTTGCAGAGTCTGCAAGTCTTGGTCTCTTTACAGGAGTGTTGTGACTTGTGGCCAAACACCTTTCCCACTGTGGTTGCTGTGAGAGGGGGAACCAAGAGGTATAGAAAGACATGCCATTCCCCCAGCACAAACCCTGGGAATCACCCCCAGAACTGGCAGGGTCTATGTTAGTTGGAGGTATGGGAAGTTTACTGCTGGAAGCTTTCCCACCCTGAGCTTTTTCCTATGGTGTTGGCATGGCTTGTCCCTCCCATGGTATAACAAGGCGAGTCGCCGAAATGGGAGTCAGATCACTCGCTTTTTCAAGTTCATCATCCCATGTACGATGTCGCTGTATTCTCTTCAACTAGCAGTTGGCCGGTGGTTTCATTTGAAACGGATACACACTTTGGATTACTGGTTGGTGCTTTGGAACATTTGGATTATTTTTCCCATCATATTGGGAATGTCATCATAGTCCAACTGACGAAGTCCATCATTTTTCAGAGGGGTAGGGCTCAACCACCAACCAGATAATTAACCATCATTAACCATCAGTAACCATCATTAATCACTATTCACCACCATTAAAAATACAGGGATTGATGGGAAACTCATCTATAAATATGGGATTATCGTAGGTTATCCACACCATCACAGACGATCCACAGGTGAACTGCATCACCGCAAGGATGCCCAGTGTCGCTTTTGAGGTTTTGCAAGATGATTCCCTGGTGAAGTTCCTTAAAAGAACCGGGAAATGATGGTCAAAGAGGTATAAGATAAAATAAACAGGAAGACTAAGAGGTAGTACGGTAGTACTGTAAATTCTAACTAAACATGTTCCCTTTATCTAGTTGTTTTTTGTGTTTTTACCTAGTTTTTGTAGGGACGGTCGACTGGGATATGCTTCGCCATCATCAGGGACGCTAGCTGCAAAAAGGCTTATCCCAGTGGAGCAAACCCAGGCCGATTTCCGAAAGATCAAAAGATGCTGTCAGTGGATGTTGCTGGCCTTTCAGAATTTTTGGGGACCGAAACACTACATATATATATACATATATATACATATATATATACACATACATATACATATATATATATACACATACATACATACATACATACATACATACATACATACATACATACATACATACATACATACATACATACATGTAGATGCTTGAATAGATTCAGAAATGCACTCTAAGTACCGGCAGTTGGGGGCCAACTTGAACGACCCTTGGATTAGAGTCATAAGAGCCAGGTCTGGAGGTACAACCGTTTCAGTTTTTTTTTGGAAAGACCAACTCAACTCTTGTCCCAAGGTGTCGAAGTCGGGAAAGTTGCTGGCATCAGGACTTTTGCAAAAGCGGACACGTTTAATTAGGGGGCATTTAGGCCTTCCTTCAGGCGTTCATGCGATTTAGGGGTTCATCATTGGAACTGTTGGCTAAACTATGTTGAATTCAAATGCTGCAACTTATACCTTGATAATTCATGATATATCATGATAATTCATGATATCCTCTGACTTGGACTTCAAGGCCCTGTATATTCCTATGACTGCTACAGTACTTCCCATCGTCAGATTAGACCCGGCTCTCTTTTGTCTTTTCATCCAGGACAAAAGACCTTCATGGGCTTTCCAGCAGACGCTGCTTGGCTGCTATTGGTGGGAAGTTGATGGGGTTCCCTGTCCTGAAAACGCTATCGGATGGCTGCCCTTATTGGGGTGATTCCTTGAGTAGGATCCTTTGGAAGGGCAAACGGAAATTCCACCAACATGGTCCATTTCAGCAATGGAAACCAAACCCTTGGGATAGACGAGGGCACCATTTTTTCTCCGCCAAGTTAGGGACCATCACCAGTTGACAGCAGTTTCATCCCTGATCATCGGCGAGCCTTGAGGCATATATAGTAGCTTTGAGAATTACGGTGAACTATCAAGACGGGACATAATCTGGTATGTTCCCCTCAAACTCACCAGTTTGTTACCTCCATCACTGGCCTCAAAATATCAACGGGCTGTGGGATTTTTTTCGTAGATCCATAGATCTCTTACCCTCCAGCTAATTTCATAGATATGGAAGGAAATCCCACCATTTATCATTTAGAGAACAGTTTCCCTGGGAATCCATGGGTTTGCTTTATCTATAGTAATTTGCTGCTTTTGATGGGCGAAGCCTCTGGGGTTTTGGACACCTTGTTGTGAAATTTGGAGACCCGTTGCGTCTGCAGATGGGGTTGTTTAGACACCCACAAAATGGGCATATCCCCCATTTTGAGACAAAGCCATGATTGCTATCACACCCTTGCTTGTATGGGATGTGAGGGTTAATCACCATTAAATCACCATTAAATCACCATTAAATCACCATTCATATGCCATAATTCGGGGATTCGCTGGGATTCCCATGATGGGATGAGGAATCCAACGGATTCCGTGGCTTGGCGACGATTTGAGGTGATCATTTGGGACTTTGAGCAGAGAAAGGAGATCCATCGACTGTCCTTGCACAAAGTGGTGGGGCACCTGAGATGCCGCAGTGACCAACATGGTCATCATTTAAGTTGCCAGGGTGAAGTTCTAGTGTTTTTTTTGGCATTTCTTCTGGGATATATGTACATATGGTTACGTAAGTTACATATGTACTATATATATATATGGTACCCCCCCCCAAAACCGACATTTTCAAGATTGTAACGCTTTTGGGATAGTTACCTTGTTCAGTTTGAGATCCAGTGGGGCAGTATCATACATATATATATGCATATATATATATATACACATATGTATATTATTTGTTATCTTACTATTACTAAATCCATGTACTTAGAGTATTTTTTACAAGAAGTATTTGCAAACGTTTGCAAACGCTTGCAAACGTTCCTGATCAGGATTCAAGATTCAAGATTCAAGATTCCCAGAAAAACTTCTTGAATCCAAGGGGATAGGATTCAAGATTCAAGATTCAAGATTCCCAGAAAAACTTCTTGAATCCAAGGGGATAGGATTCAAGATTCAAGATTCAAGATTCCCAGAAAAACTTCTTGAATCCCAGGATTCAAGATTCAAGATTCCCAGAAAGAATTCTTGAATCCAAGGGGATAGGTCTTGAATCTTGAATCCTGGGATTCAAGAAGTTTTTCTGGGAATCTTGAATCTTGAATCTGGGATTCAAGAATTCTTTCTGGGAATCTTGAATCTTGAATCTTGAATCCTATCCCCTTGGATTCAAGAAGTTTTTCTGGGAATCTTGAATCTTGAATCTTGAATCCTGCCCCCTTGGATTCAAGAATTCTTTCTGGGAATCTTGAATCTTGAATCCTGGGATTCAAGAATTCTTTCTGGGAATCTTGAATCTTGAATCTTGAATCCTATCCCCTTGGATTCAAGAATTCTTTCTGGGAATCTTGAATCTTGAATCTTTCTAAGTACTTGGGTCCCTGGACTCGTTTGCAAACGTTTGCAAACGCTTTTGGTGACAAAATTACTCTAAGTACCTGGGTTCAACAGTAAGACAACAATTAATATATACGTATATATACATATATATTGTACATGAGTTAAATAATGAGTTTGAAGTGGAATTTCATCAGGTAATGGCATTTGTTGAAACAGTTTATCTGCAATTACAATATTACAACTCAAAGCACATTGACAAATAATCACTTGCAGATGTTGATTCTCTTGTCCATATATCAAAAATATTGTTATATGGAAAAATATCTTTACATATATTGTTAAATAGTTGAGTTACTAAACTGTCTGCAAGGTTATATGTTTTATATTTTATTAGGTAAGATATAAACTCAATTTCATCTTGTAATGTTTGTTTTAAGACATTCATATATATATATATATTTGCATCATTAATATCAATTGTTTTTGGTAAAGAGATTTGTGAATTCTTGAGTAATTCATGTGCTATCATTCCATAAAAAGGTGCACAGTATTTTGAAGCCCTTTATAATATTTTTGACAGTGCATGATATTTTAGATGTTGCATATGTTGCATGCAAATATACATAAAATAGGAATGTCTACTTATTTGATTTGGTGATGTAGCAATCGCATCTATATAAGAAAAATGCTTTAGTGCAATATTATATACTTTTAATTTTACAAGTGCTATAAATCCTGCCAAGTTATGTATTTTTATATATTGTCAATATATGTTATATTTTTGCTAGCTTGATTAAGTAATTTGTAGGCAAGAGTGTATTTTTTAAATACTAATAGTTCCCTTGCATAGCATATTCTTAAGTCAGTACAATTTTATTGTCTCTTGAAAAGATGGGTTTAATATAGGAGCTAAATTTTGTTCTATTCTATATGGGTTTAGACGTATATAGATCTTTTCTGGAAAATAAATAATCAAAAATTAATCCTTAATTATATTGATGCTTATTATAATGTTATGATACATGTTTGTGCTTTGAGTATGATTTTGCTTTATTAAAATGCGACATTGCACTATCCTTTTATCCATATCTTTTAAACAACTGAAGAAATAAGAACTATTAAAATTTAATTGGTTTTGTAGTGATAGATTGTCGAGTTTAATTAAGTGATTTTTATAAGATATATATCTAGATATATATTTTCTTGCTAGCGTTTAAAGCAGTTTTGCCAATCATTTTTAATCCAACTATTTATAGCAAGAGCTTTATTTATTTTTATTTTTTGGTAGACTGTAAAAATTGTGTGTATGCAATTAAAACAATAAGCAAGTAGAAAAAAAAAACATACAAAAATAGCATGTTTTAGATATTTTGGCACAATTTGAATCACCAGTTTTTTTTTTTCCATCTGTTTCTAGTTCTTCTTCAGAGAATATGGATATATTCATTAGTGGCTCAAAAAATGAAATAACTATGGTGGAAGGATGTGGAATGGAATTTCCAGAAGACAGATTATTAAATATCTTAGATGAGGCTTTAAAGCTTTTTACTCCAGTTCTAAACTTGATATTAGATATGAAATCTAAAATATCAAAAATAGAGTTTATTTCCAATATTCCTCTAGATTCTCATGTTGCGCAACGTAATTGTCAGAAGAAATCGAAAATCACTCCAGTATACTTATTTTAAAAAGCACGCTATTTACTCAGTCTTCAAAACAAGAAAGAGAAAAACGTCGGTTTTGGGGGGGGGGGCTAGCATATATATATATATATCATCTAATTAATATGTACATATATGACATATGATAGAGATCTGGTTCAGCCCTTTTAATCGGATCATTCCTGTCGTTTAAAACCCAGGATGTCGGACCGGTCCCGCGGACGTCGCCCAGGCAGTTACGTCCTTGTCCTTCTCCTGCGACGAGACCTATTTGGCCACACTGGGCGGTCAGGAGCTGCGTTCCACGCGAAATTCGATGGGGGCTTTTTGCAGCAGGGGTTTCCGGCTTGGTTCCATCCCCATTGTTGTCAGTGGTATATATATAATATATCCTCTGGTAAACATACAAATAGCTATTGAAAATGGCAATCTATAGTGGATTTACCCATTAAAAATGGGTGGATCTTTCCATAGCTATGTTAGTTTACCAGAGGGTATATATATATACAGTGGACATAGAATATAGAATTACTATATGTGATAATAGAACATATCTATCATTATCTATCTGTATCTGTATATGTCTGTATTTGACGATTTGTGTTGACTTGTTTTAAATTTGATATCAATCCATTTTTGTTGAATCTTCTCCACCTTCCTTCCAATTGTCCTGCGCAGGATGACAATAGCCTGGTGATTTGGGAGGCAGAGCGGTGTCGGTGTCCATCCACCAAGCTGGAATACCCTGCTGTAAACCAAGATAAATGTGGATGGTTGCCAAATCCTGCACCACCAAAAGGATGGTTAAAACCCTATAAATAATGGGATTTCTTCCATCTATCAACTGGTGCAGGATTTCTGAACCATCCACAGTAGATGTGGAACATCACCCTTTTTCACTTGTAAATTATCGAACTAAACGGATCATGTTCCACATCTATGTTAGTTTACCCTAGGGTAATCTGAAATTAATGGTGGATGTTAGGAATTATATAACTATCACTTTCAGACTTTCAGGTGGGCATAAAAAACCAGGAAACAATGGGGAACCAACAAATGGGATATACAACCAAACATATGATCTTCAGACGGGTTTGTCTGAAAATCGGATGCCCCTTTCATTTATGGCCATTGAATGGGGAAATTTATCCAATCAACCAGAAATTTAGATACATGAGGTGCATTAGGTACAATTTTTTCAGGGTGGTTTGTTACCAAAAATGACGAGTCGACGAGTTGAACAAAGTGGTTCAGTTGGAAAGTCAGAAACCCACAGCTGGAAGTTCCAGGGGACGATCGGAGCCACAGCTGGCTGTTTTTTGAGGGTTCCAGGGCACAGCTGGCCCAATGGATTGATTAAGGGCAAAAACGTGGTACAATGGGATGGTACAATGGGATGAATGAGGGTATGTGTAGACATTGATCACACAGCGTTGATATACTATATTAATATCCCCGTTCGAATTTCAACTACAGAATGGGAGGCCTTGTGCCCCGTTTCGGCTTAAGATGAAAACATGGGGATGGGCCAGGCATTTTGTACCCACAGCCACAGCTTGTTTTTTTTGCATTTTATATGTTGTCAACGTTTCGGTAGTTGAAAGACCTTTAAAAATCGAAAGTCATTTTGTAGCAAGAGAATTTGCCCATCGGAAGACAACATGTAAAAACCCAATCTCATTTTTTAGCAAGGCAAGTTGCCCTTCGGAAGTGTTCCCTTCAAGTAACGTGATGCTAAAAACATATAAACACCAATCTTCATTTTGTAGTGGTGGAGTGTCCCCTTCAAGTAACTTGATGATAAAAACCAATCTTCATTTTGTAGTGGTGGAATTTCCCCTTCAAGTAACCTCATGATAAAAACCAATCTTCATTTTGTAGCAGTATCATGTTGTCATTTTCCGTAATCCTCTGGAGGTTGAGAACCATCATTTTATAATGGCTGAGGTTAGGAATTTTGTGACGTTGGTACAAAATGAGGGTCTCGACCCCATAGGTGAAATTCAAACCGGGATCTATATATTTATTTATTCTCCAGTAAACTGACAGTTTGATATGGAAAATCCACCATGAAAGTAGATCGCTTCCTATTGGGAATTGTATGTCGACTGGAGGTTTGGACTGGTGACCAGCCAGGTGGAGAGAGGCTTGGCAGTTTGCGGCACTCCAGCAGCCACGGATACAGCCCATTGCGTCCAGGGGCCCAAAATGTTTGACGGGCTGGTTGTGGGCGGTTGTCCTTTTTTTTGGATGGGATCACCCTCATTCCCTGGCTATCATTATTGTTATTCATTAATGTTACTAAATTACCTATATACATAATTATATAATATTATATACAAAATATAGAGAGATTGCACATTATTCCCTATTATTTCATTATTGTTAGTTCTTTATTTCTGTCGTTTTGACTGCGATTTCTAGCGTGTTTGACTTCTCTTTGAATGTTGTGGTGTCTTGTAGCCACTGAAATCTCCCAGTTCTCAGGGGTGACATGGCGCCCTTGTTCCATGTGCTCCGCGGAAGATATGATTCTGGCGCTATGTCATGGTTTTTTCGGTCGCACACCCGAAAAAACCCTAAACCCTTAGCAGTGGGTGCTGTCTCCAGCAGGCCATCATCAACCTGATGAACTTTTGCATCATCCTGTTTGGAATCCACTGTAAACTAACATAGCTATGGAAAGATCCATCCATTTTTCATGGGAAAATCAACTATTTCTATGGCCATTTTCAATAGCTATGTTAAATTACCGGAGGGTAGGTCCACATCGTTTTTCACGAATTGTGGAATGTAATATAATGTAATGCCCATCTGAAAAAGCCGATCGCCGATAGTTGCAGGGTATCCAAAACCAGCTCCGAGGTTCGCTTCTTCAACAACACGGAGTTCAGCCTCGTCACAGGTCCGATTTGTCAAGTTGGCGGTGCCCAAAGAGATTTTCTGGACGAATTTTGTGGCTTTCATAAGTGAATAGATACTGATCCTCCCAATTGCGAATCTTCATAAAGAGAACCAAATAGTAAGACTGCAGTCGCTGTGGATTACCAGCTTTACCCTGAAGGTCTCAACGAAGGATTGTTCCCAAGCCATGCTATTGCTGTAGCCAGGTGAATCTGTGGACTTTTGGTTTTGGCAACTGCACATATCCTCCATGCTTGCTGGGTCTGTAGCCTTCTTCTCTTTGCTTCATTCCTGCATGATATGGATATATAGATATTTATACATCTATATGTACAGTTAGACAATAACAATATATATATATACACACGATATGTACAGTTAGACAATAACAATATATATATACTATATATATATACCATATATGTATATATATATACTATATATATACACCATATAATATATGTATATATATACTATATAATATATATATATGATATACAGTTTATGTTTACAAATCTCCTTATTTTTCACCAGTGATTGACCACGGTTTTTTTCGGCAGGTGGAAATTATCACGTGGTGATTTGGCAGTTCGACCTGGCGAACAAAAAACTACGACCCACCCAGGCGCGACCACCAGCTGTGGTGGGATGTTCAGCCAATGGCTGGGATGAATGGCTGGATGTGACCCATGATGAATGGCTGTAGGTAATGTTAGGTAAGCAAATTTATTTGATCAACCTATGAAATTAGATTATCATTTTTTACTCTTGTGAGGTGAAAACCTTGCATGTGTTGTGAATCATAGGTAACCTGATCAATTTTGATATATTAAGATAGGCCCGTTCCAATGAATCGCTCAAAATCCTTTGAGACTCGGCCTGCCATCCACTTCATCCACTTCAGCACTAGCAGCGGCATTGTCACCGTCAGCCCTTTCGAGGCCAATTTGGGACAAATGAAAAGGATCACCACCAACGTCCCTTGGTGATCAAGGTTCTCTTGAGGTTCCTGAGGAGGTTTATCAGCTAATACCAAGTCTGAAGTTGGCCATCGCTTCCCATCATTGATTTCAGCTTGCTGACTTTTATTGGTTGAATGTTACACCCAATCAGGATTTGGTTTTCGGGCCATCAACTGACAGTAGCTTTGCCAACAAGACATCAACGTGTCATCACGTGCCGAGGTTCTGATTGACCAAGAGGACAAGTTTGTGTACTGCGGAACAACCACAGGAGATTTACTTCAGGCACCACTTTTTTCAAGGGTGAACGGAGGAGAGGGACTGTGGGTGAAGATTTTTGAAGGAGTTGGAAGCTGGTGGTTGAGAAATCTTCGCCATGGTATATGTCCCTTCACTCCCGGGCAAAGGAAGTGATGAGAACATAGGACATATTGATTACCTATGTGCCGTGTCCAAAACATGAGTGGTTTTCCCCTTAAAGGGGGATGGTCATCAACATTCATATATCCATTTTCAGGATGCCCATCATGGCATGGATGACCATAAACCACATATCATATTGGTGGTTAGATATTCCAACTATATACATACATATATATATATATATGTATGTATATATATATATACCATTATTGTTGGTTAAATCCACCGTTACCCTCTGGTAATTTAACATAACTATGGAACATCACCATAGAAATAGTGAATTTTCCCATGAAAAATGGGTGGATCTTTCCAGTTCGTTATGTAACAAATTACCAGAGGGTACATACCATGTAACTTGACCTGTTGGTTCCACCAATGGATGACAGGGATGACATTTGGACCTGAGCCAGGTGGAGTTGGGCCATGCTCTCTTCAAGCAGTACACGCCTAAGGGTGGACCCACCAAGGCTTGGTTCCTGGTGATGTGGTGATTTTATGAAGTTAGAACCCCCTTTAACAGGTAAATGATGATAGATGGTATATCAAACCGGCCCCTCTATTTTTACCAAAAGGAAATTATTGGTTAGAACTGATATTTTCGGGCAAATTTTGGACGATTTTGGAGATGGATTAGCATTTTTGCGATAGATAGGGCTACTACCCCATCGCAAAAACAACTTTGGATTGCAAAGCATCATTTGGTTTTGTCTACAGATATGTTCCAAAATGGATGATTGCCACTAAGAATTGATTGGTGAATATTCTATTCCCAGTGTACTCATATTATTCTTCCAAAGGCTGTTGAATTCACCAACCAGAAACGTATTTCCATCTGCGTCTACATATATATATATATGTCTACATATATATATATGTATATATATACATATATATATATATAGACATATATATATATACACATATATATATATACATATATATATATATACGTATATATATATATATACGTATATATATATATACGTAGATATGTGGACAATTACAGAACTAGTATCTTCCCGCATACTTAGATATTTTTGGGGCTACTGTATCAATAGACATAGATTCGTTGTGCCGCAACACGTCATTTTGGGTCCAACAAAAAGGTACCCGGAAATCCATTGGTTGATCATCATCCTCCCCACCCCCCCCCATTCTGCAGGGTGTATCCCATGTTCAGAGACACCCAAATCATCCCAAATGGGTATGGATGAATACCTATTAATACCATTTTTAGGGGGATGAACATCCATTTACCAGCTATTTTGATGTTCACCAGGGGTACTATTGGTTTTGATACACTGCCAAATATCATCTTGTTGGTTGTAACGTATATCCGATTTCATTGTCAATACATCCCCTGGACTCTCCATTTCTTAACTGGTGAAATATCAGTTACCCTCTGGTAATGACGAACAGTTCGCCATGGTAGTTCGATGGCCTATTTAGTTCGATGGTTTACCGTTCTTAAAAAATGGGTGGATTTTCCATGGCGAACTGTTAGTCAGAACCAGAGGGTATATCCCATTGTTTTACCATCTGGTTATTTAACATAGCCATGGACAATCACCATTTTTAATAGGTAAACCCAGGTAAACCATCTATTTCTATGGGCCATCTATACCATGGCTATGTTAAATAACCAGATGGTAAATGAAATGTTCCGGGTGTCACCAGACCTTCGCCTTGGGCATCACGACGTCGGCCTTGCTGCTGGGATGCTGGGAGGGCGAATTTCTGATGGGAGTGGAACCATGGTTTTTCGCATGGGGAAAAAGATAGGGAATATACAGGCCATTGATATCCCGAATATTCTATGGATATGCTATGAATCCATCCCATAAAATCCATGGAATATGCTATAGCTGCTATGATATCCCTTAACTAGTTCCAAGAGACATGTGAAGGGGGGGTTCTAGTCTACTGACTAAAAGATGTCTCTTGGAACTATGGAACTAGATAAGATATCCCCATTGAGTTTTGGGTTTTTCCATGATTTTCAATGGCCATGTTTTTTGATGTTTTTTTTTTGCATTTCCATCAGAATAGGGATGGTCATGGGGAGATCCTCTGGTGCGATCATGGCTAGCTTGAGACTTCTCTATAAATGGTGCTTTAATGTGATTATAACCTCCCCAACACCCCCATCCCGCCAATATTCAAGACCCCCCAGAAGCAATGGTGGATGTAGGGGATGAGAACATGACGAAACCACGACCATCTGGGACCATATAATGGGGGTGCTCAATTTGCACGGGGGATGGGAGTACTATGTTTACTTCACCAGTGTTTTTGATTCGAACGCAGATTTGTTTGATGTGTTTGATTGAAAGATGACATAAGATGACGATTTCCCCGATTTCCCCTTTTTTTTGGGGAGAAGTTTTATCCAACCATGCCGAATATGTCATGCCGAATATCTGACTGTGGAATCTCATGACGGATCGGGTAACCAGGACCTTAAGGGATCTTTCCATCTGGTTATGACTAACAGTTCGCCATGGAAAATCATGGGAAATCACAATTTTTAAGTTCGGTAAACCATCTATTTCTATGGGCCATCTATACCATGGCTATGTTAAATAATCAGAGGGTATTTCTTCTAAAGCCTACATCTAGCGCAGAATTTCACCAAGTAACTGAGGGTTGATTTCAGTCGTACTTCCGTTTTCAGATATTCTGTGTTTTTCTATAGCCAATTACAATTAAGTAGATCGTATTTTGGGTTGAACACCCCATATTTTCGGTTCAAAGGGAGCCAAACGAGTTGCACCGGTGAAGAAAATCACTCACATAGGAGTCTCCCCAACTGGGGCGCGTTGCAAAGAGACTGAACATTATTTTAGATCTTGGTCTTTGGCTGTAGCTCTGCTATAGGATCTGAAAATCCTTGGAGATATCCCCACTTTGTGGCTCCATCTCACTTGGTAAGCAGGTTCTATTCTTGCTTCTCTGAGTAGGGCTTAATCCACTGACTGGGATTATGACCTATGATGTCCCTGGGATTCTGACCACCCAGCGAGGTTGCCGGACGGCGACATGATCCTGGGAACCGGCAACGGATTGCTGGCGCGAGTCTCCGCCCCTCGGGACATATAAAAAACTGGTCGATGATGGAGATACAAACATGAAGAGTGAGGGTGTATATATATATATATTTACCTATGATAATATATATATATAAATGTTTCTTCCAGTCCCAAGGTTGGCAGGTCCTTCTGAAAAAAATCCGTGAATGGAGTTTTTTCAACCAGAGGCGCCTTCGGGCCAAAGTCGTCGTCATTCTTTGGGTTTGCACCCACTGGAGCACATCCCATACCAATCATGATTGCAACTAATAAGCATTTCGACCGTGAATATATTCCTACAAGGTGGTCCCACTGGTTGTAAGTTGGTGTATAACCCCATGTAAGTATGGTCATAATGACTATAAACCCAAGAGTTAAGCTAGTTATGAACCAACATTTTTTCATTCGAGGCTTGAAAGGTCGGTCCTTGCTGCCTGTGCAATGGAACACTTGTAGTATCCCTTAATTAGGAAAATCTCATCTTGCCTGGAAGTCCGGCAGCCAAGTGGCGGTTTCCCTGACCTTGCCACACTGTACTGCTGCCTCAGTTAGCCAAGCTAGAAGGTCCGGCTCCAAATCGCCTGCTACTTCTGTACAGCTGTCTCGCCGCTGGCAAAATTGGATTTGGTCAATGATTGTTCCAGCCAGGGCGTCACAAAACTGCGGCGGGTACTCTTTATGTGCCGCCGTCTTGAATTGTCCATCGGGTCCTACCCCTATGGCAGTGTCTGATGGCTTTTGTGCATCTACACTGCCTACTGTACATTGATGCTGCGAATCGCGGAAGTCGTACCGCAAGGAGTCCAGTTGGCTTGCTCACAGAGCATCCCCATTTCCACTGCGCCACTATGTGAAGGGTCACATCAGGATGCATGCACAGCAGACGGATCCATGGAGTGAGCCAGATACTGGCTGCTTCGGGGTGTTGTGGCGGAGCAGGGTGCTCGCTCAGGTACACCCCACCCGTCACCAGCGTCCAGGCGACTGACATAAGCATCTGCATGAAAAACAGTGTTCCCTGCTTCAATTGCTTCAACTCCTTGAAGGTGAGGTACGGTCTTCCAAACAGTCGCTGTCGGTCTCGTAGGGGCCTTGGGTATCGCTTCCCTGCGTTCGCCTCCTCATTCTGGATGATGTGATGTCTGGCTGCTGACCATGTCTCGCATGGTGCCCCTGTAATCGTGGCTGATATGCGCCCCTGCTGGTAGAGACGCAGCAGGTTTTTCCAAGAAATTGCTTCATGGTGTAGGTCTCCAAAAGTCACTGAATTTGCAGTGTCCAAGGATAAAACCAGGATCTTCAAACCAGCTTTTTGGGCCCAAAAATGCAATCTCTCGTGCACGTCTCCTGCCCTTCGCCTACCACTGAAAAGGTGTGCAATCACATATACACGCGTCTCAGTTGGGTGTCGCAAAAATGGCAGATATGCTGCTACAGGTAGGTCGAACCATCGTGCATTGCCGACTTGATTGAAGAACTTCTCTTGTTCCTCAAAAACTCCTGCAAAATGCGCTGCCGTCACAGCCCGTTCTCTGGGGTTCGCTGTCCCTTGGTGTGGTTCACGATGTGGGTAAGGAAGGTCTTTCTCCTTGCTTATGTTATTTTGTTTGGCTCGGAGATGGCTAATCTTGCGCAGTGTCTGGATTCGTGGAAAATCTTCGATCATCTGTGCGTATTCTTCATCAACCAAGCGCTCAGCGACTCCATCAATAAATTGGTCCAAAATGGCTGGCAGACATCGTTGACCCCAATCAAGAATTTCATGCTCAACCCAGCCATCAGTGCCATGTTCAAACTGAAACAAAACAGCAAGCCATAAATCCGGCAACTGCTGTGCAAGGTCTTCATCAAAACCCTCTGCACAAAATCTTCGGAACCACTCCTCAGTAACATCCGTGAGGTAAGTGCAGAGGTGCAATCTAGCTGCATCAGGGTCAGTTGGTGACAGAGGAATCACCAACTCTGCTTCTAGACTTTGAATAGCCTTGTCAATATCAGTCTGCTCTCGTCTCCCTCTCACCGGCAACTGCTGAAGTGGTCCTTGTGCTTGCAGTGACTCAACCCTGCCAAGCCCTCGCACTTCAATGGGCAGTTGGTGAAAGTTCCCAGGTTCAAGATCGGCCTGGAAACCACGTTGTCTCAACGCTTGGTAGCAAGCGTTTTGGCCAGTCCGCCTTGAGACATATGAAAGGTGTTGATAGAGTCTCTGTTTCGTCCAAAAATGACGTAAGCACTCTTGGCACGTGGTACCCTCCAGCAAGTCGTGTTCAAGAGAGAACTCGTGGTGCTGCTTCCTTCGATGGGTGGCCAATCCTTGTGCTGTTGTGAACTGTCGTCCACACTTGCATGGGAAGTTCCCTACCAAAGCATCAGCAGTGTCAAATGGCGATGGTTCAAAACTGGCATTGGCAGTTCCCAGTGTTCGAAAGAACTCCTTGTGCATATGGATAAGTTCATGCATCATCGATTCTTGGAAATGGAACTTTCTCCAAGCTCGTTTGATACAAGTCTTCCACTGGTCCGAATCACCTTGCCAAAACTCAATAAGGTCAGTCAAGTCCCCATATTTGGGATCCTTTGCTTGTCTCATTGCCTGAAGAGGCATGGTCCCTTCTGGTTCGAGGGTGCACAGCCATGCAAGATCATGCTTCAACCCTAGCAACCAAGAATCCTCAATGAGGGCCTCTTCTCTATGCACGCAATGCTGCAGCATTTCTGGCCCATGTTTCCACATCCTTTGAGCATATAGCAATCTGTCAACTGCAAGCCGGGCTCGCGGTGAACAAATTCTTGCACGATGCAAAAGGCTCGAGGCAGGGGTACGCTCAATCTCTGCTGGGGTCAAGCGAAATAACCTACGGAGCATGGTCAACAAGGCCGATTGAATTTTGGCAAGTTGACGAATGGTCGGGGTTTTCCACGCCCCCATCCCAAAAAAGAGTCTACTTTCAATCAGTGCACGAAAGAGTCTGATGAATCAGATGAATCAACCACCAATGACCATTTTTGCCAGTAAAATCCACATCTTCCATCATTTTTGATGCTAAACTCCCCATCAACCGGGGCCCCCATGGAAAAAAACAACCCAGGCTGACACCTTGCGTGTGAAGCAGCAGTGTCAAGTGCTGGGCGGCGTGACCAGTGTAGCCCTGACGCAGGAGTGGTCAAGGGCTATGTTTTTTTTTTTTGAATTGATCCTCTGGTCTATGGTTCTTTACCAAGAAAAATTGGGATTGTACCAATCAAAACGGTGATTTTCTGGGATGTTCAAACCTGGCAGAAATCCGCGAACTAGCCATGGATGTCTCTAGACTCTGGGGAAATCATTTTTTTTGATTTATAAATGGATGATTTTCAATTGCGATGCTTGATGGGTTTTCTTTTTTAGAATGGAATTAATGGGATCCAACGGGGATATGATGGAAAAATCATCAAAAAATGGTGACAGCAGAATGGGTAAATCATCAATAAATGGTGATACCGGAGATATGATGGGAACATCATCCAGCTACATTGTAGATTTCAGGGGATCCAATGGGGATTTCATGGACTTTAATGTGATTTAATTGATTTAATGATTATCATGAGCTCCAATGAGTATGACCTTTCGAAAATCAAACATGGCTGCAAAATCCCGCAACCAAATGAAGGTTTAAATGGTGGATTTCCCAGCAAGCCATGTTTGATTGCCAGAGGGTACCCAGTATTTCTATTCGTTAATCATGAATTTTTGCGGGTGTAAGCCCTTTTTTCTGACATACCCAAAGGGCTTGGTCGAAAAAGCATGGTATCCTGGTAGATATATATACTATAGATAGTGTTATCACTATAGATATCTCAAACTATATAGTGTTATCACTATAGATATATACGATAACCCAACTCCTGAATTTTAGGGTATTGCTGTGCCGCCAGGACGGCACGCACTTCTTCTGCGGCACCACTCTGTCGAACATCTACTGGGTCGAGGGGAGGGATACGGTGGACAAAAATTACAGCCTTCACGTAGCTGTAGGATTCATGATAGATGCAGATATGATGATTAGTTCTAGACCCAGTGACAATTTTGGGGATCCAACCACTTTTTGACGAGCTTGACTTCAGGATTTTGATCTAATGAAATCAGCTCATAAGTTGACTTTAGGGTCACATTCTAGAAACAATCTGAAGCCATCTAACCCAGTTCAACGGTCCCGTTTGGATTTCTTCCTCTGGCCATACCCTAAACAGCCACTGCAGGTGGACACGGATACTTTGACAGCGGAGTTGCGAAACACTTGTCACCACGAGAGGATCAATCAGGCGTCCGGTTGAAACATTGAGGTGAAGGTTTCGCAAGATTTCTGGGAAGGCTTCGAAGAAGCAATAAGTCAATATAAGTCAATAAGGATGAAACGGAAGGTTGATGTGGTTGGATTTCGCAATTGGCATGGAGCAAAATTTGATGTTGATGTAAGCCATTGGATTTGGAGGAGCATTATACTGAGTATGCCGTAGTTACCGTAGTTGTTTCCTGGGGACAATCACAGATGAAAGTTCAGTCTCAGGCTGGTTACTGTTAATTGACATAGATATGGATATGAAAAATCCAACATTTATATGCTTTGGTAACTTGACATATCTCTTGAACATCACTATGTTTAATAGGTAAATAATCTATAAATGGGCCATTCCCATCCATTTTCCATAGCTATGTTAAATTACCAGAGGGTAGATGATTTCATACCAAATCCATGGCTTTTCCATTTCCACTTGGTCAGCTTAAAACGGCCTAGCGTTTTGGACTCGCAGATCGCCTTCCCTGCGGACTACTCTGAAGTCTTTGCGACTTGCTCCGTCCGGGCCATGGAGAAATCCTGGACTGCAAGAAGTCTTGTAAAACCCATGAAATCCCGCCAAAGCTGGATTTCAGCTTTTTTTTGGTATTGCATGAGTAAGCATCTTAGATGTCTGACAAAGAGTTGTCAACTTTTCATAGCAATCACCTTTTTAGCAGGGGATCTACAAAGCACCAAGGATTTTTGATGTGGGTGACCGTCCATCGGCGCTGTAGGTCACGGACATCCGCGTGTGGAATGCTGTGACGCGTCAGGACGGGGCACAGACGGGGCACAGCCAATGTGGGGCCAATGTGATCACCCGTGAGATCTGCCATTCGAATTGCCCTCTGGTGATTCAACATAGCTATTGAACATAGCCATTTATAGATGATTTATGTATAAGAAATGGTGAAGTTCCATAGCTATGTAAGTTCACCAGAGGGTATAGCACCCTCTGGTATCAAACGTGGCTGGCTGGAAACAAATCCTGTATAAATGGGAGATTTTCAAGATCTGAGTTGGGATTGGACCCATTAAGCCACTAATCAAAGTGAGGATATAACTCATATTTCGCCGGCCTATGTATACGCCATATTGAGATATGTAACACCCAAATCGATAGAAGTAGAATTCCAGTAACATAGTGGCAACTTACTTTCTATTTTTTGTGGGGATATGTATAGTACAAGATGAGTACACATATTTGTATTAACCTCTACTAAACCGCAATATAAGTGAGATAGAACTCATACATATGTATACATATATATATATATTTCATACATGTATATATATATATATGTATTTCATACATATGTATACATATGTATATACATATGTGTATATATATATACACATTGTTGTGCTATGTGCTATGCATGAAACGTTTCACGTCTCGACGTTCCCGCGGCGACGGTCCGCTTTGCAGGAATTGCTTCGAATCCAGGTGCCCAACATGGAGTGCTACTGCCTGGACTTCATGAGGCCGCCTGCGAAGCGCGGGGCTTTTGTTAAAAGGATGGACCATGGATATCTGAATGTTGGCTATTTTATTGATACGGTAATATAATATTGGTTCCATAATTGGGATACTTTTCTAATAAATCCCATAATAGTGTCATTATATGATATATATATATATCCATGACAGATATCCTGGTGATATATCCATTAATGTATATTAATGTGATATATCATGATGGATATCTGTCAATGTATATACACATACAATGAAGACACATTGACAGTATGTGATATATATATATATATGTATGGCAAATAATATATATATGTATATATATACACATATATATATATATATATGTATATATATATATATGTATATATATATATAAATCTGATATAATGACAATATTGGGATTTATTAGAAAAGTATCCCAATTATGGAACCAATATTATATTACCGTATCATTCTTTTCTTAGCTTCTGTGGATACAGTGGTTCTACAGTTGGGATATAGTGGGATATATGATTGCGGTATATTAATATTGGAGGATTCGAGCAAAAGACTTATCTTAGTATAAACCAAGTGCAGAAACAGGAGAAACAGGCCACAGCCAATGCTGTGGCAATTTTTAACGGGATACTGTAGATGCTGACAATCCATTGGAATTTTGGGGATGCACCGTTTTCACATGAAAACATTGACGGTTAGATCAGCTGGGTCTCCAGATTTTTTCCCATCAGGAAATGAAACAGCGCTCGCACATTGAAATGGTGGTGACATAGTAATATTGAATTGAATTACCATTTATTTAATCCATTGAATTACCATAGTATTATTGATAGTAATTCTCCCAATGGTGGTGATAAACCAACCCATCGGAATTTTGGTGATGTTTATCTCAATGGATTGGTGTGAGGGAGAATCCGCCGGACACCCCTTTTTTTGGTGGAAAAAAAATCCACGGTTTTCTGCAGATTTTCCCCGAAACCAATCCATTGACGATTGCGAACACATCAAAATTTGGTGGAACTCAGTGAAGTAGAATCCACAATTTTTGATGGGTGTTTCAGACATTGGGTGAGGCTTCATCATTCAGATTTTATGCCTAGTCCTTGGCTTCAAGCGGTGGAAGTCATTCCTCCACAATGTGGGTATCAAAAAAGGGTGGCATATTGGCTCAAGATCAGTTTCTGTGAACTGTTTCTTTTAATTGAAAGATGCTTCGAGTCAGTGTAGCTTTGCCAAGCGGTCGCAGTGAGACATTTTCACTTCCGCAGTCCTCCAAAGTAGAGGACTTGAGAGTTCTGGCGCAGAAATCATTCCAGCTTGGCTTCCTTAGGCTAGTGACCGCAAACCATCGCTTGGTGCAATCCGGGGAGCCTCTGCAGGCCGCAGAAATTGAAGATGGAGACCAACTGACAGCTATTGCCGTAGAGGGAAAGATAGCAGCAACAAAGTATTGCGTATCACAAAAAGGAGCTTTTGCATCGTTTTGCCGTGGGGGTGACCGGGCTGTCACGTGGGGCACTGAGTATGGTCGAAACGTCCGGCATCAGTTGAGAGGTGTGCAACAGATTCAAGCAACTTCGAGCGCATTTGCTGCGATCCTGGTGGATGGGTCAGTTGTGGCTTGGGGCGATCCAGATGAAGGTGGAGACAGCTCTGCAGTCCGGGATCAGCTGAGAGGTGTGCAGCAGATTCAAGCAACTAGGGGCGCATTTGCTGCGATCCTGGCGGATGGGTCAGTTGTGACTTGGGGCGATCCAGATGAAGGTGGAGACAGCTCTGCAGTCCGGGATCAGCTTAGAGGTGTGCAACAGATTCAAGCAACTAGGGTCGCATTTGCTGCGATCCTGGCGGATGGGTCAGTCGTGGCTTGGGGCCATCCAGATTATGGCGGAGACAGCTCTGCAGTCCGGGATCAGCTTAGAGGTGTGCAACAGATTCAAGCAACTAGGGTCGCATTTGCTGCGATCCTGGCGGATGGGTCAGTCGTGGCTTGGGGCCATCCAGATTATGGCGGAGACAGCTCTGCAGTCCGGGATCAGCTTAGAGGTGTGCAACAGATTCAAGCAACTAGGGTCGCATTTGCTGCGATCCTGGCGGATGGGTCAGTCGTGGCTTGGGGCGATCCAGATTATGGCGGAGACAGCTCTGCAGTCCGGGATCAGCTTAGAGGTGTGCAACAGATTCAAGCAACTTCGAGCGCATTTGCTGCGATCCTGGCGGATGGGTCAGTTGTGGCTTGGGGCCATCCAGATTGTGGCGGAGACAGGCCTTCAGTTTCAGACCAGTTTGCATACTTGTAAATTCTGTATCAAGGTTTCCGGGTCAAAGTGTGCCCTGCACTCCAAAATGCAAATGTATTTCGCTCATGTTGATTTGTTTCTGGGAGCGTCCTCGAAAAGGGGTGGTAGCGACATGGTGCAACTCCCACTTATATACCCATTGTTACCCCATGTTGTTGGGGGTTCTCACTTCTCATTTAAACATTGATCCTTGCCGTGCTTATGCGCTTTTTCCATTGATCATTGGCTACAACAGTACCCATGCCATTCATTTTCATAGCATGTTTATACCCAAAATTTGCCACAAAAACCGCAACAAAACAGAGTAATTAAACGACAATAACGATAGGATGGTATGCGTTAAATGTGTTAAATGGATAAAAGGGGTGCATGCATGCGTACATTCATACATAGATACATAGTAGCCTCGCAAAAGAGTTGAACAGTCATTCACAACTATTTTAGGTTATTAGGTTATTTTAGTCTGATTCTATTTTTCCGGCTTTTCCGGGGTTTTTGTATGAATAGTGCACAATCATACAGTATGCCTATTGCCGGAACATTTCCCATTTAGTTGGATGATTTTGCCTTGAAAACTTGGAAATTTCATGGATTTTCCATTAACTTCCCATTACAGTAATTGATTCCCATTCACCGGGGCCAGCCATGGAATCTCTGGGGTATCCCCACAGCGCAACCGCATCGACCGCGGACAGGGATGGCAAATCCATCATCTCGGGCTGGTCAGATGGCAAGGCGTCTCGTGCACAAAAAGGTGGTTTAACAATGTTTAGAAAGCAGTTTGATGGGGATGTAACTAGGAAAACAGGGGAATGTAGTGGGATATCAAACCATTTTCAGACCTTTTCATAGATGCATGATTTTTCAGCAACCGTTTATGTGGGGTATGTATTCACAATATTTCACAATCACTGGATTTCCAACGGGCTTAAAGTATCATGTCATGTCTGAAAATGGTGGTCTACCCCTTATGGCATGTTATGGCAATCATAGGGACGAATTATGATCAACGGATTTTAGGGGGTACCATTGGATACCCTATTTTTGGACCAACAAAAATGCTCGGCCATGGGACCGTGGGACATTTTCCACCATCCGGAGGATCAATCCGCTAGGGGGGCCGGGGACTGGTGACACGAAAAGCTGGGCTAATGTTACGTAGTTATACCTATTGTCACGAACTATTAGTAAGTGTAGTCATATGAATGTGGGTCAACATTAAAAATGCAGGGGACTGTAGATGGACTGGCCAAATCTGCACATTAACAAGTCTAGATATCCACTCTGAGCTCTACTCATTTGCCAATTGTATGCATATCAGCCTGTTTTTTTTTCCGCAAAGTTGGTGACCTCAATTTTTCCAGCAAGATGGTTGTTTGTTGGCTTGATGTTTTCTATTGAATTTTCAACCGTAGAGGCGATGAAAATCCTGAATGACTTTCATATTTTTGGGATATGACGCCAATGGTTGATTCTGCAACAAGTCAGGTCAGATCCCGAGAAGGTCAATGCTAGTCATTGTTGGGTATGTACCCTAAGGAGGATACACATATTCATATATACTAGATATATATCATATATATATATAGATACACATGTTCACAAATACTCATATCAATACTCATGTATGATATTCATTATATAGCCTGTTGGGGTATATACATATTTATACATATCCAATGAGTAAAGAACGGAAAAACGGACGCCAGCAATGACTGGTAGTTGGATACTGGGACGATCCAGGGAGGATTACTGCCGCCCAGTTTGCCTTGTCAAGTTATACTGAGTCTACCCTGAAATCTTGAGAACATATGTGGCATATATATATATATATATGTATATATATATATATATACGTATATATATATATGTATACATATATTCATGAGTATGAGTAATCATATGAAATATGTACCCAAATCTGAATGTACTTCCTTTAAACTTTATCCAAGGCGTGTGCCCACTGGAGAATCTGGATTTGTTGCCATTGCCAACTGGGATGATCCGAGCCATGGTTTTTTCTGTGAAATCCCAATGATGTGTTGGTTGGCTTCCCATTTTTCTTTCTGAAATCGATGGAAATTTTTGGCTCCGTTGAGTAAACTTTGATTTGAGGCGGTTTTTTTCGGAATGGTGGGATAATTAAATAATCAATGCTGATCCTTGAAAAAATAGTCCTCTTTATAGAGAAATCTTGGAATTCCACCAAACCACAACCACCAGAAACCCGTAATCATTGGTCATGGGGGTATCCCAAACCATCCAGTGGTTTAGAGCCTCACTTTCCCAATGGAAAACGCCCCATTCCATGAGTTTCCCCAGCTGGAAACCTCCAGTTGGAAGATTTCCCACGTTTGATGACACCAGAAGGAAATCTCATATAATCCCATTGTTAATCATTATGAACAATTATTAGCCACTATCAACCCATTCTTAACCCATTGTATGTTAGCTATGTTAGCTAGGCTATATCCGATCTTATCTCCTATATTAAATATGGGGATGGGTCACAATTTAAGCCTTATGGGACCACAGCTTTAGTACATGTTTAACTTTTACTGTATTTACCATCTATTGGGCTACTCCTTTTTGACCCTATCCCCATATCCCCACTATAAAGGATATCCCCATTGAATAGAGAGTAATTCTAGCAATTATATCAGTAATATAATATATATATATATCTTATATCAACATATATCAACTATATTCCATATCATATCCTCATCATACTTGTGGATGGGCCAGCGAAATCCTGCACCACTAACCCGGATGGTTAAAACGCTCCCCAGGTGCGCGCCTTCCTGCCGCAGAGCGGCAAACTCCTTTACGCCGCTCGGTGAAGCTATGGAGGGATGGCTGGTAGATGGGGTGTAAAACGTGCTAGAAACGTTGAGACCCTCCGATGTAAGCTATGTAAACTGACAGAGCTATGGAAAATGGATGAACATGGATGAACATGACCAATCTATGGATGATTGAGCTACTATGAGCTACTGAAATATTGATCTTCCATAGCCATGTGTTAGTTTACCAGAGGCTGTACAAATACAGAAAAACATCGTTTATACAAAGGTATACGGTTGCAGGAGAACTGGTATGTACTTTAGGTTGGAAGCAGTGATTGGATGCTACTTCGAGAGTGCGATAGATTGGGATACTCACGTCATCTACGGTTAAACATGTCATCCAACTTCGGGGATCCCAGAAAATCCCAGAAAATCGTCATGCCACCATGATTTTGGAACATGGTAGATGCCCCAGTTATCCTCTACCCTTTGGTATTCCAACATGGCAAAGGAAAAACCCCATCTCTGACTCTCGCTAGAATATATTTGTATAGATAATTATGATAATGGATACACAATGCACATGGAGATTTCCAGCATTACCCGCCCCACCGGCACCTGAACCCCCGGCGCACAAATGGAGATTTCCAGGGTCCGTGGAACTCATCACCGGTACTGGTGCAGTTTCACAACTGGCTATGTTTCACCATAGTTGTAGGGGTTCTACCCCAACTTATGGAGGTAAACTCACCATGCTTATACCCCCTAATACTAGTAGCAATAATAAACCACCCATATTTCGTCAGTTTATACCACCTATTTATGATAAATTTGGGGAGGGTGGATCCTATTGCTTTACTAACATTAGGAACCCCAACTGCACGCCCAAGAATAATTCCATGACTTCACCGACGATGTTTCAAGGCCATCAACGATGCGCACAAGAATGGCGTCACGGCGTTAGCGCTCAGCTCCGACTGTGGACGTATCGCAACTTGGCCAAAGAATTGAAGGGCCTGACATCCGTAGCGTCGGGTGTTTTTCATACATGGATGTATAATTACATACAGTAAATATACATTGTATATATATATAATTAAATGAATAAACACATGAAGGAATAAATGAATACATGAATAAGTGAGTAAATGAATAAATGACTACATAGATAAATAAACAAATAAACAATTAAATACATATATACATAAATTAAATTGAATATATGAATGGAGGCATAAAACCAACGACAATGACGATGTATTGGGATACTACTGGGACGAAGAGCACCACAAAAATGGAGGGTTTACCCCCAAATGATGGGTATTTAGACTGCGGCGGATCGACGATCAAATTGACAGGCGAAGCAGTTTTTCAATCGAATGTACACATGATGTGTACCTGTATATTATATACATACACAATATGTAAGTATGATGGTTAACATTCACGACCTTTGGGGACCCACATCAGCGAGAAGAATCATTAAGTATAGGAACTTCCTGTGAATTTGCAGAGATTTCCCTCCAACTCGCGGAATGGACTAAGTAACTTAAGATGAATGAGTCCAATCTCAACCAAAAGCCTCAACTGCTACCCTCTGGTAAACTAACTTAGTTTGCCATTGAACATGGCCATAGATTACTTAAGTTACCCATTGAAAAATGGTGATTTTCTATAGTCTTTTGTATGTTTACCGGAGGGTATGCGCGCCAGGTGACTGGTGGCATGGAGGGCGAGGTCCGCGTTTGGAACATTGGTTTCCAAACCCAAACCATGGATGCTTCACTGAAGGTCCTGCGGGGGTCAAGTCACCTGGAAGTTTGGGGTTGGGTATAAAAACGTTTTTTTTTTTTTTTTCGTTTTTATGATGTCTGTATGAATCTGAAATCACATGTTTGGTTGATGGGATTCAGACACCGTCCGCGTGGCATGCGCAATGACATCCTGAGTCAAGAAGAGCCAGAAGTGTCACTTTCTAAACCACCCTAGAACGCCTTTGTTCAGGATTTTGAAGCCCATGTTTTTAGATTCCCGGAATGATCATCATGAGCCTCATGAGCATTCAAATGAATCCAAATGTTTGATGCGTCAAGCTGATTGACAGGCATTAGCACTTCTGTTTACAATGAATGAACGCCCTGTCACAAAACGGCAAGCGGAATTTCGAGACTGCACAGGCTTTTGGATATTTGGGTATAATTTGTTTCTTCTCATTCGAATGCCAAGATGCAACAATTGCAAAAACTGGGTCAGCGCACCATGTGAGGATTGGAATGAGTTGCCCGCTGAGACGTTATATCAGTTATATCCATATTTCGAACATCTTCACTAGAGGATTTCACAGTACTACTTTGATACGTCCATGATCTTACTGGTGCTTAGTAGGGAATGGATGGGACTGGGGGAATGGGATGATTATTGATAGTTATTGTGGATCATTCCCTCATTCCCTGCTAAGCACCAGTAAGGATAGTCCATGTATCCATGTACGTCGTTCACCCAATCGTTTCGCATCCAATTTTTTCGAGGGTTTGCCCAGCGACAGGAGCACCGTGGACGCGTCTGGTGCATCAAGATCGCCAAGGATGACACCCAGGCGGCCGGCGATCTACGGTAATTCTTGACTGAAAATGGTGATATCCGGGTCAAGGTGGATGGATACACGTTTATACACTCATCCTTGGCTGTTACTGCGGATATGTGGGGATCTGCTAAGAAAAGCAGTCCTTTTTTTGGCGGGCCATGATATTATGGCAATGGATAGAATTGGAGCGTCGGGATTTGAGCAAAGATCGAGAGATGGGGTTTTCCATATCTACCACCATGGGGATATACCCTCCGGTAATTTAACATAGCTATTGAAAATTGCCACTTATAGTCGATTTACCCATTAATAATGGTGATTTTCCATAGTTATGTTAGTTTACCAGAGGATAATGGGGATATGTGGTAGTGGGATATATGACTAACCTTAGATGATATGTGTGTGTTTGTCTGAGAATTGGAGAATCATGATTCTTCCCATTAGAATGGCACTGTTTTCAAGCCCTTTTTAGGACAAACCCAATAGCAAACCCCAACTGGGTATCAATGGACAATAGCCCTGCAATGCTAAAAGTGGGAAGTCCCCTACTGTAAATGGATTGCCATTTTCGCATGATTTCCATATCTTCTCGTCTGGAACGCATGCTAGATAGTAAGCATTTTCAAAACACAGCTGGGATATTTTGTGGGTGCATGATACAAGTAGGTGGGGGTACACACTGCCTACAATACAGGTTGATGGTGGGATGTTCAGATATTCCCTGATTGGATTGGGTATGGCTCATCCTGACTTCGGGCCAAAAATCCCAGTAACATTGGATGATGGCGTCCCAATTCCAATGGATTATCATCATCTTCCCCATGACAATTGCCGCCATAAATTGCGGCTAAGGCAAAATCCACCAGTTTCAGACCCAAATCAGATTGAGTGGCTTTTACAACATGATCTCATATTGTATCCCCATTGTTGCCAGTTTTCCCCATGAAACTGATGGTTACCATCTGGTAATTTATAACTGTTTGCCATGGAAAATCACCAGCAAAACGGTGAATCATCGAACTAGCCATGGGCCATGGCTTCGACTTCGCAACTGTTGGTCATTCTCAGAGGGTAAAGCACTGATGGGGTTGTCTGAAAATTATGCTACCTCTAAATCCGTTGGTGAGTCATCGTTTTTCCCTTTAAATGATATGGCTAATGGCCATTTAGAAGGTGTACAAACTCACCATTTTCAGACCCTTCAATGGTGAGTCGTAAAACCACGGTCACCGAAATCGCCAACAAAATCAGGCGGTCTCGGCCTCGGCGGACGGGTCCTGCATCATTTGGGATCTCTTCACGATGCTCGGTGAAAATGCCGCTGCCGGCATGGTGGAAACCATGGAACTCCACCATGAGGGATATAGGATATAGAAAGTGATATATATATATATATCTATATATATATATATAGGATATATCATGATATATCCATACTTTCTTCCCATAGTTCCTCAAAGTTGGATGGAACTGGGAAACAAAGGGCGAAAGTATGGGATATAGAAGCGATTAACATGATATTGATCCCTAGACTCTAGACTGATGTTATTCCAGGATGAATTGGCCTCCAGTTTCTCAATAGGGGTACCAGGCATTTTTCACCAATCGTGGGGTTAACAGTTCACATTATTCTTCGTGGTTATCGTTATCAGCAAGCAACATGCAGAATGCTGTGAGAGGGGAACCAATCAAGCAAAATTGGCGAGTCTTTACGAAGCCTATTTCTTTTGTGAAAAAAAATGATGGAATCCCAGCAAGTTGTGCCGGACTTTCCGATTTTGCGGGAATCCCAGCCTTACTAGATTTCAGGCACATGCTTGACCTCAAGCTACCTTGTTGAGCTAGCCATGGATCAACCAACTGGATACCATTTTGGTGTCATCAAACACCTCTTATTGGGAAATTCCCGAAGTAAATGGAGGTTTTCATGGGAAAGTGATGTCTACATAGGCCATTTTCCATTGCCATGTGTCATTTCCGGAGAGCATCGATGTTTTTGACGTCGAGGTTTGTTGCTTCGATCCTCTCGAGACGATAAAGAAGTTGAATCACTCCACGGTGAGAGGCTGACATTTGGCCTACTGACCACTATACAGAAGGAACAGATCAGGCTGTGGAAGCAGGAGCTGCACCAGAAAATGCCAAGGATTTGACAGCACCATCGCCACAGCTCCGCAGCTTCTTTTGGGACTGACCGTGGCCAATTTTCGGGGGATTCACCGTTTTGACCGGCGACATCCAAGGAAGACTCGAAAGCTTTGTCTCTTCGAGTCCACCATGTTCCTTGGCGCAATGATGTCGTCGATCCCCAGTCACCTGCAGGTTGTTTCAATAGTCGTCATGGTTGTTTCAATAGACGACTGGATGAGAACTGGGGGTACCCCCACCACTTGGGAAACGTCATGGGTTTTTTTGAATCCAAACATCTAAGCAGCTGCTGAGGTTCAAGAGCTTGGTGTATCATCCAGATGAGTCGAGACCCAAGGGGTTTCCGAGGGGTTTCCGGAAGGTGGCGAGGTCGGGAACTGGCACATGGAAAGAGTGTGGCTGTGCGGAAAAATGAAGAAATAACGGGTGGCGCACAACACCCTTAATTTATATCAATTTATGGCAATTCTAATGTCGATAAAATGATGAACCTGAAGATGGCCTGGGGTTTTCCCATAGTTTGTGGGCACCTAACCCAAATCGCCGTCGATTTCCGTTCTAACTTTACTCCTGAAGCTGGCAAATTGCATCAAATTGCCCTTTTTCACTCCCGGTTGTTGGATCAACCACGGAAAACAATGCCCGAGTTTTTCCAACTCTGATCTGGGTTGGAGGTTTCAAGTATTTCAGGTTCAAATCTGTCGGGACGATGATATCTCAGCCTGGGATGACTCAGGTCGCAGTTGCTGACCACCGGTAGCGACCGCAAGGCGTCTCACCGGGAACATGGCTGGAACATCCGATATATAGATGATTTTCCCATGAAAACCTCCGTTGATGTAGGATGTTCAAGTGCCACTAGCATGACTACCGGAGGGTATCCTAAAAATACAACATCTTACATCATCTTACATCATCTTACACCACTAGGCATCTAAAAACATCACCGTTTTGCTTGAAAAACGGGTTAGACGTACCCCCAGCAGTGTGCCGGTGCGGCTAGGTGGCCTACTGGGACACCTTCGATGGACAAGCCATCCGAGTCCTGGAAGGCTCCGAGGAAGGCGAGATCACCACGCTGTCCGTGTCGCTGCTTGGCGGAGCGAGCGAAAAGGAACTGGGAGCTGTAGATGGGGGGCTGTCTCAAAATTCGGATATATATATAATATGTATACAATATGTATATATATATAAAGCCAATATATATATGAAATGCCAATATATATATATATATATACGCTTTGCCGTTTCCGTAGCCATTTTGGCTCAAGCATTTCCTGGCCACAAGCTTCCACTTGCCGCCTGCGGCATTCAAGAGCCATGAACCTGGATCCTTTGGACAGCTTTGTCGAGCGGCGAGAGGGACGCCGCGTGATTCGCAAGATCTTGATCGCGAGCAATGGCATGGCAGCAGCCAAGGCGATGCATTCATGGAGGCGATGGACACTCCAGGAGTTTCAATCTGCGAAGCTCATCACTTTTGTGGCCATGGCCACCCGTGACGATCTCAATGCCAACGCGGACTTCATTCGCCTGGCAGATGCTTGTGTGGAAGTCCCAGGCGGCAAGAGCATGAACAACTATACCAACGTGGACTTGATTTGCCGCATTGCCCAAGAGCAAAAGGTGGATGCCGTTTGGCCTGGCTGGGGTCATGCCAGTACAAATGCTGCGCCCAGTACAAATGCTGCGCTGCCAGCCAAGTTGCAAAAAATCGGCATTACCTTTATTGGTCCATCTTCAGGTGCGATGGCCGCCCTGGGCGACAAGATCGCCGCTAACATCTTTGCGCAAACAGCCAAAGTGCCCAGCATTCCTTGGAGCGGAGATGGTCTCTTCTGCGAACTGATCGATGGGCAAAAGGAAGTCGCAGCTGCCATCCGAAAGGAAGTCGTCAACAAAGCCATGGTAACCAGTGCCGAGGAGGCTTGCGCTCGAGCCGAGAAGATTGGTTATCCCATCATGGTGAAGGCTTCGGAAGGTGGTGGAGGAAAGGGCGTCCGCAAAGCAACCAACATGGAGGAGCTCGCAATCGCTTTCAGCACCGTCTTCACCGAGGTGCCAGGCCCCCCCATTTTTCTGATGAAGATGATGCCCAATGCTCGTCACTTGGAGATACAAGTCGTGGGCGATGAACATGGCAACACCTTGGCCCTAAATGGGCGCGACTGTTCCACCCAAAGGAGATTCCAGAAGATCTTGGACGAAGGACCTCCAACTATCGCCAAGCCGAATGTACTTCGCGAGATGGAACGTGCGGCCATGCATCTCACAGCTCTGGTGGGCTACCGAGGCGCCGGCACAGTGGAGTATTTGTACAGCCCAGAGACCGACACCTTTTGCTTTTTGGAGCTGAACCCAAGTCTGCAAGTGGGGCATCCTGTGACCGAATCCATAACAGGTGTCAACATGCCAGCAGCTCAGCTCCAGATCGCCATGGGCGTGCCGTTGCACAATATTCCAGACATCAGGAAGTTCTACGGGATGGATCCATCGCAGAACTCCAAGATCGATTTCCTTGCCGTGGACTATCCTCCCATCACTTCTCACTGCTGCGCTTCCCGTATCACTGCTGAGAATCCAGATGAGGGTTTCAAGCCCACCAGCGGAAAGATCCTCAGTGTCCGATTTCAGTCCTCAGGTGATTGCTGGGGATACTTCAGCTGCGGCTCCGAGGGCGTCATCCATGAGTTTGCTGATTGTCAGGTCGGTCACATCTTTGCACAGGGACCGAATCGAGAGGCCGCCAGACAGAGCCTGGAATTCGCCTTGATGAACATGGATATCCAGGGAAGCATCCGTCATCCTGTGGACTACTTGGTGGACTTGGTTGCAAGCAAGGAGTACCGGGAGAACACCATCGACACTACCTGGCTGGATGGTCTCATCGCCAATAGATTTTCCGAAAGAAACAAGGAGGCCAATGTGAAGGCTCTGGAGGTAGAGAGCAGTCACGGACCTCGTTTGAAAGGCGTTCTGGAAGATCTGGGTTACGCCACTACTGCATCGCTGCAAGGATCTTCAATTGCCGACTTGATTGCGTCCCTGGTTCACGATACGCCGACAACGGAGGCGAGGGCGGAGGCACCACAAAGCCTCGACGACCTCCGGCAGCGCTTGGACCATCTGGAGGAACAGCTCCAGCCAGAACCGCAGGGAGTTTTGTTGCAGCCAGCTCTTTTTGATTGGCCGCTGTCGCAGTGTGAGAAGCGCGACAAGTTAATCCAAATTCTGGACCTTGAACTCAGTGCCACAGAGCATGAGCATGCAATGGTCTTGAAGGCAATGGCCAAAAGCAAGCTGCCCTTTTTGTCTAAAGGGCAGCACAAGAGGATCTACCACTCTGGCTACCGAGCCGGATTTGCTGCAGCAATTTCCGAGAGCAGTGTGGTTGGCGCAAGAAAAATGTAGCAACGTAAAGGCTTTGCGCGTGACCCAGAAGGAAAACCTGGCTTTGCTGTGAACCTGAGAGGATCTGAGGGGTCATAAAGTTTCACTTTGCGAATTAGAGTCCAATAGTAGCAGCCCATGGATTGGATTGGTATGACAGGCTTGCACCATGGGTTTTAAGCGCACATGCAGAAAATGTTGAAATTAGTCAAGGATGGTATGTAGCTGCTCTTAAGGGAGAGGGGTCAGTTGCCCCTCTGCCCGGTGGACTCTGGAGCGCTCAGGACGAGTCAGTGAGCCACATCTAGATGTTAGAATATCTGGCCAGATCAGCTTACTACATAGCATGTTGACAAGGGAACTGGGATTGGTGTTTTGCTGCTTATGGGTTTATGATGGTTCATGCGTGTTTTGAAAGAAACCTATCAGGGACTATCTTGGAGATTCGTTCCTGGCGCGATCTACTTTACAGGCACAGCAATATTTACCATGAAGACGATCGCATTGTGATTTGCGCAGGCCTGGCAGTGAACCAGTTCATCTGACCAATTGTCTGACCAAGATGTTGAAATGCCACACGAAACCTAGATCTATAAAACCAATCATCATCAGCAGCAGCATCAACATCAACATCAGCATCACAATCGCGATCATCTTGGACCGCACATGAAAAAATCAAAAAAAACAAAAAAACGTTATTCGCAACTGGGCGCTTCCTTTACAGAAGAGATGCCAACTACTAGAATCTCTAGTACTTAGCAAACTCCTGTACGGTGCAGAAACATGGGTCGTCACAGAAGAGGCGACGGTGACCCACTTTCATGCGGCTGTCATACGCTTGTATCGCAGATTACTACCAGTCTCACCAGACCAACATTTGGCTGATGACGAGGTGTTATCGCAGGTCCACATGCCCAGCCCGATTGAGCTCATTCGTAGAGCCAGACTCAGATATGTGGCCACGCTACATCACTGTGGAGAACGTCATGAATGGGGGCTACTGGCTGCAGATCGAGCATGGCAAGGATTGGTTGAGGATGACATGGACTGGATGTGGGGTCAAATCAAGCACAGCTCTCAGATGCCGAACCCCAAGCTCCATTGGGAACGTTGGAGAGAGGTGATTTGCTTTCATCGATCGTACTGGAGGAGACTCACCCGCAGAGCCTTTGAGCACGCCATCCTTCAGCGGGAGAAGCATTGGCGTGTGCAGGTCTTCTACGAGTCCCTGACCCGGCATCTACGGCAGACCCTCAAGTACGTTCCTCACGAATGCCAAGAAATAGCCGCGCACGCTACCTATGGGTGCATCTCTTGCAAGAAAAGATGTCGCAACAAAGCAGGAGAAGCAGCACACATGTTCCGAGTCCATCACCAGGTGGCGAAGCGCAGACTGCTTGTTGATGACCCAGTTTGTCCAGCGTGCCTCAAAAACTTCCACACCATGGGAAAGTTGACTGCGCACCTGTACTACGCCAAGCACTGCCGCAGAACGTTGCACAGTCGAAATTACGAGTGTGCGCCAGTGCCGGGCAAAGGCTCCAATCAAGACCAACAGAACACCAAAGAACATGATCGACTGTTGCCTCCGATTCAGGCGGAAGGACCTCAACAGGCGCCACAGCGAGCTCGTGAAGAAACGGAAGTTGACTCTGACCTGCACATGTTCCTCATGGAGACCTTCCTCGATCTGGAGAATGTGGAGGTGGCGATCATGCACATCTTGGAGGAGCTGGAGATGAGACCTACAACCTGGACTACCTGGACGGCGACTTTGCGCTACTTCGTGGACACGCTTGATGACGAAGATGCACAAGCCTGGCCGGTATCACTAACCGAGGTCAAGGCTCGACTCTTGGACTTGCTGGAACCAATGAGGTGGGACTTGGACGCCCCTTTTGTCAGACCTGTGCAAAGCCTGGAAAGACTGGAACAGGAATGCCGAGACGTTGCAGTCACTGAGTGGCCTCCAGCCTCTGATGTTCCCAGGGAAGCCTTCCGACATCGAGTCTTGTTGCACATCTTCTCTGGCCGTCGACGGCCGGGTGACCTGCAATTCTTCCTTGATCGCATGGAGGGACCTAGCCACTACATTCTCCATGTCGTCAGCATGGATGTGGTGGTCGACGCAGTTTGGGGAGACGCCATGGCAGTTGGCACCAGGGACTACTGGCAGAAGGCGGCACTGGACGGATTCGTCGTCGCCTTCTTGGCGGGCCCCCCATGCGAGACATGGTCGAAGGCCAGAGGAAAAGGAGTCCCCCTGAACAAGCACAAGAAGCTCCCCCGCATCCTGAGAGACGAGGATCACCTATGGACTGCCAAGCCTAGCTCTCAGAGAGCTTACGCAGGTTCTGACAGGGAACGAGCTACTCACCTTCACGCTGTTGATGGCAGCGATCATGGTGCAAACCGGCGGAGCAGGCGTCGTGGAGCACCCAGCAGAACCTGAAGAAGAGATGGCGGCGTCTATCTGGAAACTTCCGGCGGTCCTTGCGCTTCTTCAAGCCCCAGGAGTCAACAGACACCGTATCGCCCAAGGACTTTTTGGAGCCCCTTCGGCAAAGGCGACTGACCTGATGGTGATCAATCTCCCCCACATTGTCGCCGAACTCAGATGCTGGATGCTCCGAAAGGAATTGCCACATGGAGCCTCCATAGGCCTTACGGCCGACGGCCAGTGGCGTACAGGGATACTCAAAGAGTATCCGCCAGCCATGTGCGGAGCACTGGCATCAGCATTCCGTCGGGAGCTCGACAGGACACCGACGAAGACTGGGTCAGAACCTAAGCTGGACGACATCGCCTTGTGGGAATCACTGACAGTGACCATGTATAGTTCCCATATTGGCCAGGATTTTGCTGGCTAGGCTGACCACAGTGAATTCAAAGACACAGCAATGGCCGCAGCACAGCGCAGCAATGGGCCAGGAGGGAAAAAAAATACGCTTTGCCCCAGCGTTGCAGCCTAGAGGGTTCCCATTCCCAATCACATGTTGTTGCAACTTTACACTCAATTGGGAAGATCAACGAAGGTATTAGGGAATATTAAAATCACCCCCCTGTTAAACTTTACATTCGATTGGGAAGATCAACGAAGGTATTGGGTCATATTAAAATCCCACCCTCGTTAAACTCTACATTCAATTGGGAAGATCAACAAAAGTATTAGGGAATAAATATTAAAATCACCCCCCTGTTAAACTTTACATTCAATTGGGAAGATCAACAAAGGTATTAGGTCATATTAAAATCCCACCCCTTAAACTCTACATTTTATCGGCAAGATCAACAAAGGTATTACGGAATATTAAAATCCCACCCCGGTTAAACTCTACATTTTATTGGGAAGATCAACAAAGGTATTAGGGAATATTAAAATCCCACCCTCGTTAAACTTTACATTCAATTGGGAAGATCAACAAAGGTATTAGGGAATATTAAAATTCCACCCTCGTTAAACTTTACATTCAATTGGGAAGATCAACGAAGGTATTAGGGAATATTAAAATCCCACCCTCCTTAAACGCTACATTCAATTGGGAAGATCAACAAAGGTATTACGGAATATTAAAATCCCACCCCGGTTAAACTCTACATTTTATTGGGAAGATCAACAAAGGTATTAGGGAATATTAAAATCCCACCCCTTAAACTCTACATTTTATCGGCAAGATCAACAAAGGTATTAGGGAATATTAAAATCCCACCCCGTTAAACTTTACATTCAATTGGGAAGACCAACAAAGGTATTAGGGAATATTTAAATCTACATTCAATTGATGATGACGATGATGATGATGATGATGGTGGTGATGATGATGATGATGATGATGATGATGATGCGTTGCCCGTCGTCGTTGCGGTACGGGGCAAAGCCCAGGCATTTGCCGTATATATATATATATACGAACATGATATACACATATTTTACATGTATATGTATAAATATGTATATATATATGGATAAATAGTGTGATATATCTCTCTAATATGCAAATTGGGATGATATCTTCATACATGTATCCGAGTCCGTTCCATGGTGGAGTTCATCATTTTCCCCATTGTTTTGGAATGACCATAAATTGAGGTATTCCCCTCCATTTTGAGACACATCTATATATGTCTGCCTTCAGAAGGAGTTGTGTGACATTTTTCGTGTCGGAACATGTGTACACAAAACGAACCCTCCAAGAATTTTGGATGAGAACTGGACTTTTGCACAACTTCCACACAGGTCAATGATCACGTCTCATTATTTGTTTCAGTTGCATTTTCCATGTCTATTAAGTTGCTTAATCCAACCAGGTTTTCAGCCCCAAGTGACCAGCCCCGCCTAGGAAGAGTGGTTCCCACTACGTCTCGGGTGGCGAAGAGCGTTTGGTGAAGCTGTGGGACTATGACGCTCGGTCCACGAAGCCCTGTTGGTTGATGATTACCCTCTGGTAATTTAACATAGCGAACTGGAAAATCCATTCTAAATGGAGGTTTCTAGCTGGGAAAATCATCTGTAAATGGTCCATTTTCCATAGCTATGTTAAATTACCAGAGGGTATAGTCACTTGATGGGGATTTGGCTATGGGTCAATACCTATTAATACCATTTTTAGGGGGATGAACATCCATTTACCAGCTATTTTGGGGTTCACTAGATACCAGGGTTTTGACCAATAGCCATTTAACGATGAACCTATCGGGATATCAGTGATATAACTTACTTAAGTACAACTGATAAATGATGGTTGATGGATGAAATAGTGGGGGGTTATCCTCTCCAATACCTTTGGGATTATCAGAATCCAGCTTCAAACTTGGAGATCTGTCTGGGAGCAAAGTCAAATTGACATGCATTTTGGAGTAAAAGATACACAAAAGATACAGCAAACTCAGTAACCGCTGAAAACTCTGGATAGTATGGCGCGAGAACCTGGTTCTGGCCTAACGTTTTGTCGGTGATTGCCGAAGAAAGAAAACGGTCGCCTGTTGTATTGCCGATGTCTACCCATAGGTTTCTGGCTGGTGGTTTCCCTTTATTGGGATGATGATCCTCAAATAGGATTGTTTGGGAAAGGGAAGAATTTTCCAACAAGTCTTCACTGAGGACAAGGGCGTCTCCGAGTACATCGGGGTCTGCCTGGCTGTTGAATGAGTTGCAGTTGTTGTTGTGGGGGTCGCTGGTGGTGCATCTCGTGGTTTAGCAAGTGCTTTTGATTGAATTTATATGTTTTTCCATGTTTTCCCATGTTTTTCTTCAAATTGCAAACTGATGGATGTTCCTAATTTTTGCATGACAGTTGCATCCAGCCGTGCGTGCTTGCATCAACATGTTCGCTTTGTGAAGCTATCCCCCATTCCCAAGTTGTGAAACGAGTAGGAACGATGACGAAATCATGTCGAAATCCGAGATCCCATGACTGTCAGCCTGGGCGCAGCCCAGGAACTTTTTTCGGGGGTACTAAAAATAAGCCTGGCCCTAATCCGCAGAATCGAATTCCATAAACCTGGGGGCATTCGTGAATTCTCTTGTAGCCAGAATTTTCAATTTGTTGATTTCTGCACGATAAATCCGCCGCGAAGCCCATCAGGTATGCTGATGGCAAGAAAGATATGGCACGCATTTTTTTTACAGCCAAACGTGCTCATTCATTTCCTCTCTTGAAATCAAATCTCTCTCCAAACAAATTGAATAGAACCACTCAAATACTTGGATTTCACACATATTTCCCGAATCGAGATTTCCCATGTATTTCCCCATGGCCCATGGCCATCGTCCTCACTTTTTCCGAAGTTCCTTCGCCAGGTGGGTCACAGCGGCACCATCACCTGTGCCGCGATCAGCCCGGACGCCAGCTTTGTGGTCTCGGCGGGGTCGGAGGCACCGGCGGGGCGAGACGTAACTTGGGTGGATTTTTGGGTGGTAACTTGGGTGGATTTGCTTGATTTTGGCGAGATTTTGGTGACATTTGATTGATTTTGGTGTTTTGTTTGATGATTTTGGTGATTCTATCTTTTTGTGAAGGATTTTTGCTTGATTTTGGATGGATCTTGGGTAGCTTTTGAATACTGATGGACCCATAAACGGGTCAGCAACAAAAGCCAATAGAACTGATTGGTGGGTTCAAACATTTTTCTAATTTCCAACAAGGAAAATAGGATGATGATCCCCAATGATCAGGTGGGTTGAAACCGGGCGGTGGCTTGTGGCATCAAATGATGATTCTTTTTGATCAAGTTGAAGGGGAATCCGAGTCCAGTATGGCTTAAGCTTAAAACACTCAGCTCCCCCAAACTGGAGAGTTTCAGATCCTGGGAAAAAGACGAGTTGCAAAAAGTAATCTTTATTGTAACAATGTAATAATTGTATAATATATATATCATTTATACATACATTATATGCATAGATACAGATTCTATTATGTATGAATGCGGGTCCATTACTACCCACCTCTCAGATTTTTCCAGGGAGCAATCCTCATCTGGACCATGCCCCAAGAGTTGGTCAGCAAGTGCAATGAGTTTCTCGGACAGCGCCTGTGGGAGTGATAGAGTGGGGATGGTTGCCCCCAATGATGGGTGAAGATACCAGATAAGTCCCAAAACGAACTAGAGCACCTGTGGGATTTCTTCATATTTTTTCTACCCCAAAATCTGGATTTCACCAGCAAATCTTCAGAGTTTTCCCAAAAAAAATTGCATATTCACTAGCCAAAAGGGAGCCTAATGCAGCCAAAGACGAGGATCCAAACTTATGATACGATATAGTCTGCGAGTGTTGAATATCGCTGCGAAGTCACTGTTGTTGACACATGGCAATGGATCCAGGAAGCAGGGATTTTGGGTCATTGAAGCTATCTTCATCATGTTTTTTATAGTTGTTAATCCCCAATAAATGGATATAATCTCACTTTATTCATTCTTCTTTATTCATTCTTTATCCATGTTTTTTTTCTTTTCCCCATCTTAGTTTGGGATTTGATCCACCATCTCAGGCTAGTTGAATGAGCGGTCGGTCGTCGTGGGCTTGGCGGCCGACGCGACGTTGTGTGCGATTCACCCCTGCGGGGCCGCAAGATTGCGGCTGGAAAACTCCGCAGGAAGGAATTGAAAGAGTGGTTCTGGTGGAACTTTCAAGCAGTGATCTGAAGATCGACAGAACATTCTGTTTCAAGATTGGTTTCAAAACCATGAAGTGAAGGATATCAAGAATCCTGGTGGACTTAACTTGAGAGACTTGGTCAGTTGGTGAAACAGTGCAGTTGGTTGATGCACGAAGCACGAAGCTCCCGGCGCTCCGGCACTGTCCAATGAGAGCTGCCGGCCAGCGGCCCAGCGGCCAGCCCTGATCGCAGTCAGATATGTATGACGTAGATGCATGCGGATGCACAAAAAAACATGTGAATCTACAAGACACTACCCTCCGGTAAACTAACATAACTATGGAAAATCACAATTTTTCATGGGAAAATCCACTATAAATGGCCATTTTCAATAGCTATGTTAAATTACCAGAGGGTATTTGATGCAGTCTTGCAGAAACAAGGAAACAAGACTTCATACCGCAGGGGCCGTTCACTAGCCTACTGGATGGTTGTTCACCTATTTCGACCTTAACAGCTGGTGAACAGGCGACAGGGTAGCTGTTTCGAAGTGGATTATTCTTGGCGCGATCTGATTCCAGTAAACACATTATATATACTTCATCAATCTTCATGAATGATAAACTTTTGTTTTTTTTAGAAACTTGTTGTTGTTGTTGTTGTTGCTGTTGTTTTTTTTAAAGAAAAACACATGTCTTAAAATATCCAGATCCAGACTCTCGCTTCTTCCAACCACATGTGCGCCGTCTGCGGTCAGGGCTGGTCCGCGCTGTTCGTTTCACAACTGCTGGGACACCGTGTCCGAAAGGCGCCACACGGGGCCGGTGCAAATCTTGCACTCTTCAGACGGTGCAAAATTGGTGCGAAGCTGGCGGCTTCACCTTGCGAGTGTCACCGAATGTCCAGGCTTTTACCCTCTGGTTATGTCAAAATAACTATGGAAAATCACCATTTTTAATGGGAAAATCCACTATAAATGGGCCATGTTCAATAGCTATGTTAGTTTACCAGAGGGTAGTGGAATTCCTGAAGATCTTGACAGTGGAAACGACCCAAACCAGAAGTGACTGGATGAGCTACTTTGGTTATGAAATTCTACACCAGGCGTTTTTTAGACGTGCCGTCTGAAATTCAGCATAAGCTTGAACACGCTATTTCTTAGCTAGACCATTTCTCAGTTTTCCTTTCTCCCTTAGTTCCAAAGTTCTTAGGTGGACCAGTTCCTGGAACCTCAAACCTGATCGTCTTGGAGTTCCAGGGAGTGTAACCATCACATTAAAATATACTAACCCCCCCATTGTCCATAATTATCCCATGACTACCCTCCAGTAGACTAACATAGCTATTCAAGGCTGGCCATTTAGTTCGATGATTTTTCCTATCATTTCGATGGTGATTTTTCCATAGTGATGTTAGTTTACCAGAGGGTATCCCACAACTATCCCATAGTTATGGCCCGAAATACCAGTTATAAGATGTTATAACTAATAAATGGCCATAACGGCCATAACGGCCATACCCACCCATGAATTCTTTAGGGTTCCAGGTTGCTGGTCTTCCCCTCCGCAGTGCCCTCTGAGTTCCAGCTCAGGAGCGTGTCTCCCTGAAGCGCCAGAAGGAGCTGGCTGCTGAGGTGCGGACATGCTTCACCAAATGGAGGAATGCTTAAAATCTGTATATAAGCACGTGTAATAACATTCAAAAATAGATAAATAAGGACATAGATAAATAACTATAGATAACCACCATATATATAGAATATATATATATATGTATACACAGTCACTGCCGCAGCGAGATCGCTGCTATGTGCAGCAGGAAACAAAATCGCCAGGCCAAGGCTGCCATCGAAGCGGAGGCCGAGGCCAAGGCAGCGCCAGCCGCCGAGGGCGCCGTGGAGGACGCGGCGGAGCCTCGGGAGGCGGCCGGGGAGTTGGGAAACTATGGAAGGATGATGATGTATGTTTTTCCTATAAATTCTGGACTATATATGGAATGTGGTTTGATGGTTTGCTAGTGGTGAAAGTTTTTTTTTCATTTTAGACATGTTTTTGTGTCTCTGAAGTGCTTTCTGTCAAAATTATTTCTGGGTTAGCACAGATCTGAGTGTGGTTGCATGAAATGAGCTAAAGGATGAGGATGAGATGCTTTTGTGATGTTTTTCGTTGCACCGCCTGAAAAACTGCTGGCTGGAATCCTCCAAAACTTGGAAATTTGGGGATGCTTTCCACCGTTTCCACCTCTTCAAAACGTCCCCGCCGAGAGGTTGCAGTCCTCGCCGGGGCCTGAAACCTAATTCACCAGGTGCCGTTGGATTTGTGCGCCTGGCAGCTGAATATTCAGGAAGATAGCCATGAAAAACCAGCACAATGTTTGGGAATGTTTGGGAATGTTTTTGATGGTGTTGGGCTGAGGTTGAGATCCACTTAAAGGGTCTATATCGAGTTGTGGTGACATCAATGCCACTTTGCTTTGTGCTTCAAAGTGGATTGCTTCACAAAAACCGCTGAGCCCAACAACCCAACAACCCCAAAGATCCCTTGTTCCATGCTCCTTAACAGTGGAGATCACTAAGAATAGTGAGAATCAAGAACCCAATTTTCCAGGGCCCACCATGGCTCTCCCTACGCTGCCAGATACGACCTACTGGGCAGGGCGTGCCACCCTGTGTGACCACGGCTGTATGGATGCTAGGTGCAAATTGGTCAATGGGATTATTAAATCGAGGATGATCAAACCAACTAGAACTGGGTCTGTCCAAAAATGGTGGTCTGTGCGAAAATGGTGGACCCTCAAATTGGATGCAACTGTTGAGCATTTTCTGAAATTGTTTCAATTGGGGATCTCTTGGGTCCGAGCTGCGCATCTACCGGGGGTGATGACGGCAAAAGTCATGAGTCGCCCTTGTTCTTCCAGCCAGCCTTGAAAAAGGCCAGAGAATTCAACAGGGACCAGATAGCCTCTGTAATCCCTGGAAATCAATGGACAAGATGGTGGTCTTCCAGTCTGCCAGGCATCTTTGCGACCGCCAGAATGAACGATGAACATTAATGACTCATAAAAAGCAACTGGTTGGTAATGATGAGGAATGCTGATCCCAATTTTTTCCAAGCACCTGTGGGGCATGGATTGTTAATTTACTGGGAAGAAATGGACATATTGGAATATCTACCCCAAGCATGGACAGATAGAAATGGATAGAAATGGGGTAATTCATCAGCAAACACAGGTAAACAGCTTATAAATTGCATAAGCTCCAATCCCAGCAAACCAGACCACATCAGTCAAGGTGGGGCTGCTGTGGTAGGCTGATGGCAACGGACTTGCGTGAGGACAGGCTGTCGAAGGGTTTTTGAGATACCAGCTGCTTCCCCCAGAGATGTTCCCTCTAAGACTCTAATATAACCAGGGAAAATCACAATTTTAATCGGTAAATCATCTACAAACGATCCATTCTTTATAGCTATGTTATGCTATGTTAGATTACCAGAGGGTGACTTCCTTTTTGGAGGATAAGGTATCGAGGTCCCAGTGAGGTTGATAAACCACGGTAACCACTTCGCTAATGAAATGATCCTCCAAGTGCCTACCAAGAATGGAGATTTCCACAGATTTCCCTTTATATACCAATTTTGCTTCTTGGAGGCTAGTACCTTTGCCAATATGTTTTTGTATCTGTTTAGAAATCACTCTCTACTGTGTATGTTGTCCCTATCACATCCTATTTGCATCACAAGTCCCTGTGGCACCCTTTGTTCACATGGCCATGTTTTGTTTCGGCTCCATTTGTGGTGCCCATGGGTGCCCCAAATCCTCGCTATCCGACCTTTTTGGGTATCCATACCCACACGGTCCCAACTTGGTGCACTGACTTTAAGTGCCCTCCAGAGGATTCCATTGTCGCGTGAGTCTGAGATCTGCCGATCAGCTGTGTTGGAGTTGTGAAAAAGACGGTGAGTGCGTTCGCTGGTGGGTCCTGTGCTGCATTGAATTTGCCGTTTCTGGCAGACAATCCGTGCGACGATGCATCGGCATTTCATCGTGTTGAGGCTGCGCAAGCCAGAGATAGACACATCGAAACCATTGAAACAGCGGTGGTGCCAGACACTACATTCCAATCCATCGCAGTACCCCCTACTCCTAACTCAGACATGAAGCATGATCAGACTCCAACGTTTTAGGATCTGATTTGGGGTTCGATTCTTCCTCCTCCTCGACCTCAAACCATCATGAAAGGTGCAACCTAGTTAGATATACTTAGGGAGATCTTATGCCAGTAAGGCAAGATTTTGTAACCTTTTAAACTCCACTTGAAGAAATCCCTTGGGGATGTAGCTTGCACAAGATTCCACAAGGAGTTTCAGAAGCTAGTTTCTCACCATGTACCATCTTCCAGGAGAATTTTGAGGGTAGGCCACTTCCATTTTTCGGTCAAGCGGTGAATGCCACCTTTGCCGTCGTCTCATTTGATGCGCATTGCTGCGAGCTGCGAGTCGGACCATTGACTCTACAACGCTACGACTTTCTCGCGGCTGGATGGAGAAATGGCCGGATTGCCGGTGAGGAATTAGTTTACTTTCCCACCCCCAAAAATAGACATCTTCTTGGAATTTCCATTGATGCGTTCTCGGGCTCCCAATGTTCGAACGTACTTGGATGCGCATCCCAGTTTGCAATTGGTCAATCTTCACAGCTGGTATGTGCCCGAACTGGGGTGGTATGTGATTCTGTGGGCTGTAGCCATGGGTGTCAAGCAGTCATCAACTGGGATTCACGTCCAAGTACTCTGACATATCCATTTCATCAAGATTGACGCTGCCACGTGGCCTGTATGGCCTACCCCTCTGTAGGATGCCAGTCTAAGATCCCCTCCAAGAGGTAGGTTTTGAAGGCACTTTGTGGATC